ACTCGATTTTGTGTCTGATTTTACATTTTACATTTAGATTATTAACATATAAGTTAGATAACTAGAAAATGCATGTTTTATATATTTTTGTTACTTAATATTACAATAACAATTTTTTTTCTCTTCTATTCAATGAACAGGAAAAAATGGGAATTTAGGTTATCGCTGGAATTTTTAAGACATTATTCATCCGTTTTTCTTTTTTTTTCTTATCGTAATTATATTATTTGATCAAAATAATAATTAAGTACATATTAATTTGATTTACCTTGCTTTGATAATGACAATTTTTTTTTTTTTTTTGAAAAACCTATAAACTTTCAGTTTTATGTAAATTATGTTTCTCTATAAACATAATGTAAATGATACATTCGTAATAATTTTTCATTAATAATTATTAATTAGTTATTGACTCAAAAAAAATTTCTTTGACTCAAGTAAATATTTTTTTTTATTCAGGTAAATAATTATTTGATTCAAGTAGGTAAATATTTTATTTATTTATTTATTTAATTATTTTTTTTCAATTCAATTTTATTAATTAATAACATTAATTTATTACCAATGTATTATTTACCAATATAGAAAATTGTTAAAAATTGTTTTAAAATTGTTAAAAAAATTATTTTCTTCCTTTTAGAAAAATAATTTTTATTCGTAATTTTATTATTCGCACTTTTTGAAACGCAATTTTGTAAAAAATTATTTCAGTCTTGTTTTTGAAAAAGTTAAAAGATAAATTATTGAATAATTATTATTTCATGATTTAAAATGTTGCGGAGGCAGTGATAATGTTTTGTTTTTGTTTTAAATTTATCATGATGAAATAATAATAATAATAATGGGTGTAACCCTTTTACATAAAGAGATATCTATGTTAATTAAACATACAAGTAATTAAAATTAATGTCTCTTTTAAATGATTTAATGAGTCATTTATTTTGACTGATATTTTACACATTTTTTTAAAATTAAAAACAGTAAAAAAAAATAAATTATTTTTTTTACTGTTTTTAATTTTACAAAATTCAATAACAATTTTTATTTATTATTGTTTTTTTTAAACTGAAATAAATCAAATTAAAAAAAAATATTAATTATTAGTTAATTACTAATATTAGTTAATTACTAATTAAGTAGCAGTTAATAATAATAATAATTAAATTAAATAGAATAAATAAAATTAATAAAGTAAAAATAAAATGAATAGAATAAAAGAATTATAAATTAAATAAAGTTAAATAAATTAATTAAATAAAGTAGAATTGGAAAAAAAAGAGTGACCTTATTTTATAAAGATAATTTATTTGTTTTAATTAAAATAACAATTTTTTTCAAATATTATTTGTTATCACTTTATCTGGATTTGTCTCGGGAAAATATCAAATGCAGTTTATTTCTATATGCAATGCACTGAATGCATTTCATATATTTTACATGTGTGTTGAATTTAAAATTGTGTTAGTTTAACATATAAACTTACGAATAGAATCCGCGAGTCTTCACTCGTGTTTGAAGCACGTGTTGAACGCGGTCATGAACTGATTTAATCTCTCCTCCATATAATATAATTATATTTTAAGTTAATCAAAAAAAATCACCATTAAATTCACAAGAAAAAATTTTTTTTTACCAATAAGTTTTTTTCCGCCATAAAAAAAAGTGCAGTGTATTTTTTTTTTACTCTAATTAAATTTGGAATTTTTCACAATGGTTTACAAAATTCAAGTTTCGAAGGTCTGTGGTATTTTATTCATACGAATATAAAAATATAATTTTTCTAATCATAATATTTCTTTTCTTCAGTCGTCTTCTATTTTTACGTATTAATTTTATTTTTTTCTTCTTTTTCTTCAAAGAAAAATTTTTATTTCTACTTTTTGTGGATTAAAAGATTTATTCAAAATGATGCACAAGTTTTTTGAGTTCAAACGAAGGAAATATTTTTATTTAAAAATATTTTTTTTTCATTATATTTAAATTTGATTTAAGAAAAATTTTTTAAATTTTATTCAAAATCATACACTAGTTTTGAACGTTCAAATGCAGGAAATATTTTGTATTTAAAAATATTTTTATTTTTTTATTTTATTTTTTAACTTTTTGTGAATTAAAAAATTTATTCGAAATGATTCACTAGTTTTGAAAGTGCAAATAAAGGAAATATTTTTTTATTTGAAAATATTAAGTCGAAATAAACGAAAATTTTTTTATTCTATTATTATTTTTTTAAAACTTTTTTTGTGAATTAAAACATTTATTCAATTTCAAAATGATTTAATAGTTTTGAACGTTCAAATGATGGAAATATTTTTTACTTAAACATATTACCTCGAAATAAAAGAAATATTCTTTATTTAAAAATATTACGTTGAAATAAACCTAATTTTTAGGTTTTAATTTTACCTAATTTTTAATAAAAATTTTAAATTCAACATTTAGAAACATTATAATTAATTTTTTTTCACAGTTACGCAAAATTATTGCAAAATTCAATTTGAAGAAGAAATAAATAAATTTTACGTTCCTTGGAACGTACAGAATTTTTGGACCATTATTAAAAATTTATAATTTCTCGTACAATTAATAAAAATTTAATTGCATTTAAAGAAAAAACATATTAATATAGAAAGAAAAGAAACTGAATAATTTTACAATTATTATAATCAATGAAAAAATAATGAAATTCAATTATTTATATGGACTTTGCTATTGAAATAATAATTTACATAGAAAAAAAGTTAAGGTGAAGGTTTCAACTAAATAAAGAGAATAAATGTCAATTTTTTTTATTTTCTGAAAAAAATTACCTTCTGAACGTTTTTTTTCTACCTGATTTCCTTAATTAGATAATTTCCTTTTTTTCTAAATTAGGATTTTTTTTCCGGTCTATTTCAATGTTATAGTTTTTTTCGATTCAAAAAAGAAAAAAAAAAGTGCCTTCTGAAATTTTCTCGCACGATCTCTCTTTGAATACCTATATTCTTTTTTTGTTTGTATTTAACAAATATAAAGTCACTTCTCTATCATCTTTACTGTCGACTTTGCAGATTATTTACTTTAGAAATAAGTGGAAAAAAAAATTTATTTCAGATGTAAATTTCAAGTTTGGTCCCAAGAAATGAATTTTAAATTTACATATTGCTTTTTGTATAATGAAACAAGAAAAAAAATTGAGCCAAAATTTTCCAAAAAACTAAATTTATTTAAAATTTTTATTTAACTACTGGAAATTCAAATTTTCAAAAATTTCGATTTAAAACCTCTTGAAATTTATTTCAATCTAAAAATTTTTTTAATAACTCTTTCAATTCAATTATTTTCACGAATTATTAAAATTCTAATATTTATTTATTTATTCTAATATTTAATTAATTGATTTTAATTTAATTAACATTATTAAAAACAATAATTAAATTTCGGCGAAGAATTTTATCACAATTTTTGAAAATAATTCAATTCCTGCGAAAATTTTATTATTTTTGATTATGAAAATAAGAATTTAATCATTGCAAATTTTTTCAACTAATTTAATTAAAATTATATTGAGAATAATTCAATTCTTATTATACAATTTAATCAAAATTTTGGAAAATAATAAAATTCACTCGAATAATTTTATTATTTATGTAAATAATTGGATTTCTGCAAATTTTATTCATATTTTAAAAATAATTGAATTTTATTAAAATTGTATTGAGAATAATTGAATTCCTACAAATTTTTGGTAAGGATTTTATTAAAATTTTAAAAAATAATGGAATTTTCCAAAATAATTTTTTTATTTATGAAAATAATTGAAATCTTGGCAACAATTTTATCAAAATTTTGGAAATTAATGGAATTCCCCCGAATAATTTCATTTTTTATGTAAATAATTGAATTTCTGCAAATTTTCTTGAAATTTTAAAAATAATTGAATTTTATTAAAATTTTATTGAAAATAATTGAATTCCGAGAAATTTGTTTAACGAATTTAATTAAAATTGTATTGAAAATAATGACATTTCCCAAAAGAATTCTATTATTTATAAAAATAATAATTCAATTCTTGATTTTTTGAAAATAAATAATATTTAATTATTATTATCATAAAATGATAATAATAGATATTTTTCTTAATATTTAGTTGTAAAAACCTGTATTCTTTTTTTGCGCTGTAAATTTGAGTTTGAAATCGAAATTTTACTGCGGAAATAAAAATTGAATATTTTATTCAATTAATAATATTTATTAATTTTGTACGTTTGAATGAATTATTTATAAACTCAAATGTAAATCTCGAATGTGTACTTGCATTTGAAATCTGATATATCACCTGGAGGTCGTTATAGAATTATATATAAATTTCTGGTACTCTCACAGGTTTCTTTTATTATAATTTTTTTTAATTAATTTGTCTGATTTTAATTTCTCTAAATATTAATTATATTCAATTTTTATTTTTCAAATTATTTTTTTTCATTTGTAAATTATTACTAGCAATTTTTCAAGATCTTTTTCTTTTATTAGATCTAAATATTAATAGGAGAATTTTTCATGTCCTTTTTTTCGTCTGTTGCAAATTATTACTAAAGTCATTTTAATTAGAATCATTTATCAGTTATTATTTTTAATATTAATAGATTTATTTAATTAGAATTAGTTAGAATTATTAAAGTCTTTTTTAAAAATATATTTTGCAGATAATTATTTTTATATCATTTGAATATATTTTGCAATAACAAATATTATTATTCAAATCTGAATAACTGTGACAAATTGATTCTAAACAGAATTAAGTTGATAATTTAGCCTTTGACAAATTAGTATCAATGCTATCGAATTAGTGTCAATGAAAGAATCGTTTAAAAAGCAATTGTTCTATTTTTTTTCTGTTCTTTTAATTATTCGTTTTCTTCTTCGTTTGACTAATTTAATTTTATATCGAAAATTATCTGTGGAATTTTGTATTCTCGCAGAGATTTAATTTTTTTTCCTCACGATTTTGCTTTTTCCAGGGTCTCAATGGGAATTTGATGTTTGCAATTGCCGCTGCGGCTCTTGGTTCTTCTTTTCAACATGGTTACAACACTGGTGTCATGTCCAACAGTGCGGAGGTAATTTTTCAAATTTTCATTCCTGTAAAAAAAAAAATTTAATTTGAATTATTTTCTGATTTCTGCGCTATAATTTTATTCTCTTTTTTAATTTTATTTAATTTAAATTATTTTCATTCTTCTGTCAATTTTATTTAATTTTAATTATTTTCAGAGTTCTGCGTTAATTTTATTTAATCTCAAAGATTTTTCTTCAATTATTTTCATATTTCTGTGAATTTTAGTTACTTTTAATTATTTTCATATTTTTGTCAATTTTATTTCGTTTTAAAGATTTTAATTTTTTTTTAATGAATAAAAATAATGAAAAAATACAAAAAAAATGAAATTAAATAAAAAACGCAGTAAATAAATTTAATAAATTTAAAAAATAACATGGTTGCCACAAAATCTAGATTTCAAAATTCCAGGCTTTTTCCAGGTTTTCCAGGTTAGAAATATTAAAAATTCCAGGTTGAAATTTAGGAATTATTTGTGATGAAAAAACAAGTATTTTACAAAAGTGTTAACAATATTCATTATTATGTAGTTATAAATTAATGTTCTCTTAAACAGTTACAATCACAGGCATTTTTATGTTTATTTTTCTGAAAGTGATACTTTTTATATTTGATTTTTCAATTTTTTTTTTTTAAATTATATGGTTTCTTCTATTGAAACTACTTTATTTCATACTCAAAAGTAAGAATTTAAGTTGTGCAAAATCAATTTGAAAATATTAAAGTCTTTCTTCTTTGAATTTTACTCGGGCCAATATGTAAAATTTAAATATTTATAAAAGCAATAATATTCCTCTTTTTTATAAATGTTATATAGAAAAATTAAACATCAGACCATTAACTTTATTTTAATGTGCATTCACATTTTTTTAGAATATTTTTAATGTATATAAATATCATTAATCATCGTGAAGTAATTTTAACTTAAACTGAAGACAAATTTAAACATTTTTATCACATATGAAACGGAGGTCCAAAAATTTTTAAAATGCACATAATGATAGAAAAAACATTGTATTTTTTTGTCACTATTTTTAAAAAATTTCTAAGAGTTTGAAAAAAACCATAAAAATTTAGTTTTCTTATAAATAATAAATTTTTACTATGACAATGGTTAATAATATTATTAGAGAGTAGATTTTATAAAATTAATCGAGATATAAAAAATGTCACTTTCAGAAGAATCAGCCACAATTAGAACATTGAAGTCATGTCTAAATTAAATAATTTTCATCTTTAAACTTTGTTCAAAATCTTGAACAAAAAGCAATTAATAACAAAAAATTTTGACAATCGTAAAAAATCTTTTTTTTAGAACAATCTTAACAACATTTTTCACAGTTTTAGTCAATAATTTAAAAAAATTAAATTAATTTAAAGAGAAGATAACATGGAAAAGGGAAAATTGCATGTTAACATTTTTAAAGAAAAATAACATGTTGAATGGAATTTTTCTTAATATCTTTCATTAACCCAAAAAAAATTCCAGAAATTCGTTCAAATTCCATGCTTTTTCCAGGTTTTCCATACCCTTTTTCAATTTCCATGCTATTTCCAGGTTTTCCAGGTTTTCCAGGTTGTGTGGCAACCATGAATAATAAAATAAAAATAGAGAAATAAGAAATACGAGAGAAAAAGAATAAAAGAAAAATTTAAAAAAAAGGATAAGATAATAATCGTTAATTATTCTTCGCAGGTATTAAAGAAATGGATTACCGAACAATCAGGTGATAAAAGCGGATCACAGGACTCGACGACATTTATATTCGCCATAATTGTTTCAATATTTTGCCTCGGCGGAATGATTGGTGGCTGTTCGGTTGGATATATTGCCGATCGATTTGGACGAAAAGGTGGATTATTGTTGAATAATATCCTCGTTTTTTTGACAGTATTATTCGAAGGTTTGGCTAAACCAACGTCGAGCTACTATATGTTCATTATTGGAAGATTTTTAATTGGTATTAATGCCGGTTTAAATGCGGGTCTTGCGCCCATGTATCTCAGTGAAATATCACCAAGTCATTTACGTGGAGCCGTTGGCACTGTTTATCAATTAATTATTACAATTTCAATTCTCGTCGCTCAAGTCTTGGGTTTGGAGAGTCTTTTAGGAACGGAATCACAATGGCCAACGCTATTTTGCCTCACGGCAGTTCCCGCTGCTTTTCAACTCATCACACTTCCATTCTGTCCGGAGAGTCCGAAATATCTTCTCCTCAATCGTGGACGGGACATGGATTCACAAAAGGGTAATTGTCACTTTCCTGCGGATGAAGAGAATGAGGAAAAATTAATAAATATTAAGAATTACTGGCAAATTAGTTACTAAATTAATTGCTAAATTATTTACTAAATTATTTACTGAATTAATTAACAACCAAATTAATTACTGAATTAATTAGTTGCTAAATTATTTACTGAATTAATTAGCAACCAAATTAATTACTAAATTAATTAGTTACTAAATTAATTGCTAAATTAATTACTGAATTAATTAGCTACTAAATTAATTGCTAAATTAATTACTGAATTAATTAGCTACTAAATTAATTGCTAAATTAATTAGTAAACTAAAATTTAAATTAATTTCCAAGCAAAGGCGGTATTCAAATTATTTTTATTATGAAAATTACCAAAATTTTGATTCTAAAATATCAAATGCAATTTTTATTTAATTTCAGATTCAAAATTTTTAAAAAATTCACTTATTATTAACTAATTAATTATCATTAGTTATTATTTTCAAAAATTTTAATAATTTTCGTAAATAATGAAATTTTTCGCAAGAATTCAATTTAAATTTAAATTCAATACAATTTTAATAAAATAACTCGAAAGAATAGAATTTTTTTAAATTTTAATAAAATTCTTCGAAGAAATTCAATTATTTTCCAAAATTTGAATAAAATTCTTCACAGGAATTCAATTAATTTCCAAAATTTGAATAAAATTCTTCACAAAAATTCAATTATTTACATAAAAATTGAAATTATTCGGGGGAATTTCATTAATTTCCAAAATTTTGATAAAATTTTTGCCAAGATTTCAATTATTTTCATAAATAAAAAAATTCTTTTGAAAAATTCTATTATTTTTTAAAATTTTAATAAAATTTTTAGCAAAATTTTGTAGGAATTCAATTAATCTGAATACAATTTTAATAAAATTCAATTATTTTTAAAATTTCAAGAAAATTTGCACAAATTCCAATTGTTTACACAAAAAATGAAATTATTCAGGGTAATTCCATTGATTTCCAAAATTTTGATAAAATTTTTGCCAAGATTTCAATTATTTTCATAAATAAAAAAAATCTTTTGGGAAATTCCATTATTTTTTAAAATTTTAATAATATTCTTAGCAAAAATTTGTAGGAATTCAATTATTCACAATAAAATTTGAATAAAATTTGCAGAAATTCAGTTGTTTTTAAATTTTAATAAAATTTGCAGAAATTCAATTATTTACATAAATAATGAAATTATTCGGGGGAATTCCATTATTTTCCAAAATTTTTGCCAAGATTTCAATTATTTTCATAAATAAAAAAATTCTTTTGAGAAATTTCATTATTTTCAAAATACAATTTTATTAAAATTTCTCGAAAAAATTTAATTATTTTTAACAACTTTAACAAAATTTTTCAAAAAAAATTCAATTATTTTCAAAAATTATAATAAAATTCTTTGTATGACTTCAATTATTTTTTTCATAAATAATAGAATACTTTTAGTAATTCAATTATTTACAATACAATTTTAATAAAATTTCTTGAAGGATTTTAATTATTTTAACAACTTTTTTTAATAAAACTCTATATAAAAGAGTTAAGTTTTTAATACAATTTTAAATTAAATTCGTTGTAAAAATTTGCTAGAATTCAATTATTTAAAAAAACTTTGATAAAATTGTTCTCAAGAATTCTATTAATATTATCATAAATAATAGAATTCTTCGCAGAAATTCAAATACTTTGAAATTTTTTTATTAAATTCTTTTGGATTATTTCAATTATTTTCACTACAATTTTAGTTGAATTTCTCAAAATAATTCAATTATTTTAAATTTTTTTTGAATTCCCATGAAAGAATTGAACTATTCTCAAAAATTTCAAAATATAATTCTTTTGAAAAAATTAAATTATTTTCAAAAATTTTTACAATATTAAGTTAAGTTTCTTTTGTTTTAAATAATCGAACTTTGGAAGAGTTGTTCCGAAAATTATTTAAAATAATAATTGATTTGGAAAAGAATTTCAGTTTAAAAATTCTAGAAAATAATTAAATTTCTGAGAAATCACAGTATCAATCTTTGAAAATAATGAAATTTCAGAAAGTTTTAAATTAACCTTTTTTTGAAAATTTCAATCTTAAGTAAGAATTAAAATTTCTAAAGACTTGTTTTTTTAAATGAATTTAAATTTTTGTACATATTTATTTATTTATTTATTTATTTAGTAAAAGAATTTAATTAATAAAATGAATTTTAGAAAACTTACAGTTGTAATTTTTACAAAAAATTGAATTTATTTTATTCAAATAAATTTTATTTTGCAATTTTTAATAGTAATCCTGTCTTTTTGAGAAAAGTGTTAAGAAATATCAACAAATTTTTGCAAAATAATTGAATTTTTCGTTGTTGTACTTAAAATCTACAAAAAAAGTTCTTTTTGCGCCTTCAAATCGAATCAATTTCTGTAATAAGAATTATTAGAAAGCAATTAAAATTATTATATAGTAATTACAATTATTGAATAATTATAATATAGTAATTAGAATTATTAGATAGTATAATTAAAAAAAAATACTTTTTCTTTTAGCTTTATCCTGGCTCCGCGGAACAATTGACGTTCACGATGAAATGGAAGAAATGCGAAGTGAATATGAATCGATTAAACTTGTGCCCGCAGTGTCATTGAAGGAATTAATCATGAATCCAAGCCTACGAATTCCAATGATTATTGCCATAATGGTAATGATCGCCCAACAAATGTCCGGTATCAATGCAATTGTTTTCTTCTCAACGAAAATATTTACAATGGCAAGTCTCGATACACACGCATCGCAAATGGCAACCTTGGGCGTTGGTGCTGTCAACGTTTTCATGACTATTGTTTCTCTATTTCTCGTTGAACGTGCCGGAAGAAAAACATTGCTCCTTGTTGGCTTTTCCGGAATGACTGTCGTCACCTTCCTCCTTGCAATTTTCCTTCCTGAAGCCGTGAGTCTCACTAATCAGTCTATAAAAAAATTTTATGCATTTTTTTTAAAATTTAGTTCACGTAAATATAATTTTTTTTCTATTTTCTCTTTTTCATCAATTTTTTCCGATTTAATTCAAATTTGCAAATATTTTATATACTTTTTTCAAATAAATTGCGAATTTAAAAAATTCTATACCATTGATTCCATTAAATTCACGTGAACAAACTTTTTTCTACAAATTTTTCAATTAAATTCACATAAAAAATTTATACACATTATTATTAAAAAATAATTTCTTACTTTTTCTCCTTTACAGCAAAAGAAATCAGAATTTGCGACGTACGGTGCAATTCTCATGGTGATTCTCTTCATTGTATTATTCGCAACCGGACCGGGAAGTATTCCATGGTTCTTGGTGGCAGAACTTTTCAATCAATCGGCAAGACCAGTGGCAACATCTGTGGCAATTGGCGTTAATTGGACGGCAAATTTCTTCGTCAGTTTTGGCTTTGAACCAATTGAACAAGCAATTGGCTCCTATGTATTCTATATTTTTGCCGTTCTCCAAGGAATCTTCACATTCTACATTTATAAACAAGTACCAGAGACAAAGAACAAGAGTATCGAGGAAATTAGCAGTCTATTCAGACAAAGATCATACCAGTAAGAGACGATGGGAAAGAAGAAAAAAAAACCGTGAGAATTGAGACTTTTCATTTTTCATTCGTTTTTTTTTTTCTTTGCGCGCATGTTGTTGGGGAAAAAGAATACGAATAGATCAAATTTCTCATTCGCGATTTCTATTTACTTGAATGTTTTTTTGGGGGGCGAAGGAAGAACATCCCTTCGAGAAAAAAAAGTGAAATCAAACTTTTTTCTTTATTCACAAAAAGAAGAAAAAAAAATGATCCAAGTAAAGGATCTTTTTGTAAAAGACGCGACTTGTTGAGAAACAGACTTTCGTTTTTAGTAAAATTTTTTTTTTTTTTGCTTTTTTTTATATATTTAGTTCCTATAAAAACGTATTCCCGACAGTAATGTAAAAATTGCTTTTTTTAAAATGACGAAACAATTATATTGAAAAAGCTCCAAGTTCGGGGTGAAAATTTTCTGACAATTTTAATTTTACAAGAAAGTTATCTAGTCTTCCTTTAATGGATTCATTTTTAACTGTTTTTTAATTCAACTATATGTCACCCAGTTATTATTATTATTATTTTTTTTTTTTGACATCAAGATTGAATTCGATTACTATTTTAATTGACTATTTTATCTATATTTGTGACTCTTGTGACAAACAGTTTTCGTCATTTTTATTTTTTAAAAAAAAACTGCGGAATACATTTTAATAACTACTCTATTGTCACGAAAGAAAAATTTACTGGCATTTTTGTTTAAAACTTTTATTTTTGGGAATTTTTCTCTTTTAATTTTGTCTTGTGAATTGTAAATAGTCTCTTTAAACAAGATCAAAGTTTTTCTTGAAAACAAATGTTTATTTATTTTTCAAAGTTTAATTAATGTTTTTTCAGTGAAAATGGTATTTTTTCTTTTAAACATTGTTTGTAAAAATAGTATTTTCTGTGAAAATATTTTTTATATTAAATAGTATTTTCTGTAAAGATATTTTTTAGAAAAATAATATTTTCTGTAAAATTATTTTTATAAAAATAGCATTTTTTGTAAAAATAAGAATTTTCGGTAAAAGTATTTTTTATAAAAATATTTTTATACGAATAATATTTTTTATAAAAAATCGAATTTGTTGTAAAAATAATATTTTTTATAAAAATAGTATTTTATACAAATATTTTTATAAAAATAGTATTTTACACAAATATTTTTATAAAAATAGTATTTTACACAAATATTTTTATAAAAATAGTTTTTTTTTGGTAAAAATTACGTTTGCAGTAAAAAATATTTTTATAAAAATATTATTTCTTGTATAAAAATATTTCTTCTAAAAATATTTTTCACAAAAATGCTAATTTTTACTATTTTTTTAAGCCTCGAATAAAATAATATATTTTTACTAACGCATGTAATTAACTCTTTAAGATATGCCAGTGAATTTTTTTTTCTCTTCATTAAAAAAAAAAAAAAACAAATGGAGTATTTCTTTGATAATCCGTGTCATAATTGTAAATACGTGAGATGAAGTAAATAGACTGTAGACGAGTGTATTGTATAGAGAAATATGTAGTTCTATTTCTGTACGCGTAGTTAAATTTTTTTATTTATGTGAGGCATAAGGAAGCGACTTTTATGTAAAGAAAAGAAGAATTTAAAAAGGAAAAAAAATCACAAATATTATTTATAAAAAAAAAACACACATACGATTATTAACTGTCTATATATACGAATACCGATTATGCCTCAGGAAAAAAAAATATAAATCGTCTTGTGATTTATTGTCACGCGATTTGAAATTTTCTTTATTCAATATTGATTAACAAAATACTTTGCAAAAAAAAAGTGACAGATCACGATTAATTAATACTCAAAACTAAAAAAAAGAAAAATGTATGTAGTATTACGAATATTACTATAAAAAAAAAGAAAAAAGGAAGCGAATCACTTTTATTCGAATTTATTGACAAAGATCCATACTTGACATGAATGAATCTTTCGGAGACATGAATATGAATTAATCTTAATTGAGAAATTAATTAATTAATATTAATTTTTGATTAATATTAAATTAAGAAATTGTTTAACTAATATTAATTTTTGATTAATATTAAATTAAGCAATTAAATTAATGTTAAATTGTAAATATTAATTTTTAATTAATATTAATATAAATTAATTAATATTATATTTATTCATATTCGTATCTTTTTTATTTTTTACATAGAGGAAAGAAATCTGCAAGAATTTTTTCACTTAAGAATTATAATAAGAATACAGTTTTTGCCGAAACTTTTTGTTCGGAAGGGAATTTTTCGTTTTCTTCCGTTCGAAATTCCAAAATTCTTGTCAATTAAATTAAAAATGAAATTGATGCTTTATTGTTTTTATTTTTAAATATGTACTGTTTTATATTTTTATTTTTTTTAAATTATTGTATTTTTTATTATTATTTTTAATATTAAAAGTAATTCTTAATTTTCAGTTTCTTTCGAAAATTATTTGGTTCAAAGGAAAATTTTGTTTTTTAATCAGAAAATTGAATAACTTTTACTTTTCTAATTGAAAAACGATAAATTTTATTCACTTTTTTATGGTTTTTCCTTCTGAAAACTGACGTTTTATTAAAAAAAAATTTTTTTAAGTAGAATTTTAAAAAGAAAAATCGTGAAATATAACAAAGAATTTCCCAATTTTTTAATTTATGAATTAATTTTTAATTTTTTGTTTTTATTTTAATTTTAAGTTTTAATTTCAAAAAGATTTGAATTAATTTCTTTGAAAGTAAAATGAAAAATAGAAAACGAAATTGATTTTCTATTTTCTTCTAGTTGAATTAATTTTTTTTTCTTGAGAGTAAAAAAATAAAAAACAAAATTGATTATTATATTGTTTTTAGTTAAATTAATTTTCCTCTCGAGAGGAAAATGAAAAAGTAGAAAACGAAAAAAACTCCCAACAATAAAGTTTTCTCGGCACTTTTTCTTTTTTTGTACATCTACCTCAGAGAGAAAGAATATTATTGAAAAAAAAATCAACTCGTCGCATAATGTTCATGTTCAGTGTGGTTTACAATAAACCAAAATAATTTCGAAAAAAAAACCATTTCCGTGTTTTTTTGTAAATCAAAAATTTAAAACACAGAAAGAAACCGGAAATTCACGCACAGTTTCATGTTGAAACTGTCAACAAACTAATTATTTTCGATCGAATAAAATGGCTCAAATGGTGATAAAATAATTAAAAGTTATTTTCTAGCAATAAGTTTTATTAAAATGGAAAAAGAAAAGAAAGAACGAAAATTATCATTTGATTCAGATTCGCTGAATGTATATCGCATAAGAAGAAATATATATGAAATAAATACCCAATTGTCTATAAAAAACAAAAATTCATTCGACAATTAAATTTTGCATAATATTCATCGAGTATCGAACGGATCTTAAATAATAATAATTATAATATATTGTGAATAATACTTGTTTCTTGGCTTTATTTATGTCATTCAATGAACATTCTAATTTTTCAATGAAATATATATGTACTGGAAAGACTGCTAAAGAAACGCCAATTAATTTTTTGGCACGCACGAATGCTCGATATAGATATATATTGCAAAAAAAAAAAAAATAATGATGATGTTAAAAATATTTTATACAAAAACCACTCTTTTTCTCCTATTATTATAGGGCATTCTTTTGTTGAATTTTTTATTTATTTTCTGTATGAAAACTGGAATTCGCAACTTTTGAAAAAAATTTCTATGCATAAAGTGTATTAAAAGAAATTATAAAATATTTTATAGACTATTTTATTTAAATGCAGTAAAAAAAATATTCTTCATTTTTGTAAAATTATATAGAAATTCTAGAAAAATACAGAAAGAAATTACAAATTAGTTTTTTAACGTCAGAATAAAATGAATAGATAAATTTATGTAAAAATAATTAGCATATCAATAATTATTAATAATTGTCATAGCAATAATTATCAATTATTAATTAATAATTACCAATAAATTAATTACATTAATAATTGATATTTGATAATTATGATAGTATCGAAAAAAGATATTTTTTATAGACAATGTTATCGAATGTGAAAAAGAAAAATTGAATCAAATTGAAAAATCAATTGATCATAATTATATTCAAAGAAGCAAAATAATAAATAAATATTTTTTTAAGAGTTGCGAAATTTGAGATTCGTCTTGTTAATATATTTAAGATCGGACGTTATTATTTTTAAATTCCTGTATGTCGTACCTAAGTAAATAAGTTATTGCAATCACAGTGATAGCATTTAGTTGTAGTGTCTTTTATATGAGAGGAGAATCCATTGATAATTATAAAATAAATATTAAAAGTTCCGAATAATCCTGTGCATATCCGCTATAAATCGAATATTATAAAATAATTATATAGTTGTAAATTCATTTTAATCCCTTAAATAGAGCAAAAATTAAATCATTACATTATAAATTTATAAATAAATATACGTTTCTGATGACACGAGATGTGTAAACAATAATAATGATTATGATGATGATGATGAAAATGATATGTTGATTTAATCTTTAGGATTTGATATATATATGTTGTCTGTTGATGCTGAGTATTTGCATGTTTGACGTTGTTCAAAAAAAAAAAAAAATTGCGAATTTGTAATAATTGTGCTGCGACTTCATCAATTTTTGATGCCAATATACAGTTGTACAAAATAAATCGATTGAGAAGTGTAAACAGATTTTTTTTCAATTCAAAAACTATAAATGACAATAAAAAAACTAAGGAAGAATCGCTTGATAAAGGATCGAATTAAAAAGAAAAGAATTTCTTTCGTTTCATTTATTTTTATTATTTTTCTATTTTTATTTATTTTTCTTTCCATTCAGATTTTTTTCTATTCAGACTTTTTCAGAGTTTTTTCAGGTAATTTTATTAAATTTACATATTTTAATTCAGAATTTACACATTTTTTATTCAAAATTTACATATTATAATTCAAAATTCATTTTAATTCGAAAATTAATTTAATTATTAATTAATATTAAATAATTAATTTAAAACATTAATTATTACAGGCCTTGGATCGACTTTAAGGCGCAAAAAAAGTCGCTTTTGTGGATTAAAGATACAAAAAAAAGTCGAAAAAATCGTTTATTTTATTCATTGTAGTCACGGAAATTTATTTTCTATTTTCCTGATCTTTCAGGAATTAAATTAAATTAAATTATTAAAAACTTGAATAATTTTGTTAAATAAATATTTAAATACTTGTTATTCATTATCTACAGAAATTAAAGTTTTTTTATTTTCAATTTATAATAATATTAGAAAGTTCAAGAATTCAATTATTTAAAAAAAAAATTCAATTATTTATCATAATCTTCGAAAGTTTTTGAAGAATTCAATTATTTAAATACAAAAGTTCAATTATTATTTATATTAATTTTCGAAAGTTTTTGGAGAATTCAATTATTTAAATACAAAAGTTCAATTATTATTTATAATAATTTTAGAAAGTTCAAGAATTCAAATATTTAAAAACAAAAATTTAATTATTTATCATAATTTTCGAAAGTTTCTGGAGAATTTAATTATTTAAATACAAAAATCCAATTATTTATAATAATTTTCAAAAGTGCTTTTAAGAATTCAATTATTATTATTTTTATAATAATTTTCGAAAGTTCTTCGAAAATTCAATTATTTAAAAACAAGAATTCAATTATTTAAAAAGAAATTCAATTCCTTATAATAATTTTTAAAAGTTCTTTGAAAATTTAATTTATACAAATACAAAAATTCAATTATTTATCATAATTGATTTTTAAAAAATTATAAAATGTAAACAAATTCTTAAAAATATATTTTTTTTATATAATATTTTAATAGAAAAATTAATAATATTCTTTGTAAATATTTTAATTTTCACAAATATGTAATTAAAACAATTGAAAATAATTGAATTTTAAAAAATTATAATGAAAAAAATTCTAAGAATCACTTTTATTAAAAAAAATATTAAAATTATAATTATTTTAAACCTAATTTTCATTTGAAGATTTTTTTCATATTAAAATATTTGAGAATTCAATTATCTTCTCAAAATTTACAAATTAAAATTCTCCAAAATTTGATTTACAAAAATTTTGATGAAATAATTTTAATAAAATCAATTATTTCCAATTAAATTTCAGAAAATTTTAATTATCGTAAAACTTTTAAATTATTTATTTCAAGAAATTAATTATTTCGAGTTTTGCAATATTTGAAAGAAAAGTAAAATAAAGTTACAAAAGAAAATTCCTGAATTCTTCCATAAAATCTAAAAACTAAAATCTATAATGTAAAAAAAAATCTAAAATTAAAAAAATGAGATCGCAATTTGTTTATTTTAAATTTTATTCACTATAATATAGTAATTTTTTTAACCGATATATACAATGTACGATAACCAAAGGCAGATCTTAAAATAATGTGAAAACGTCTTTCCAAATTTTTTTTTTGTTCAATTTTTTAATTCAATCGGACAATTTTACATTATTCGGAATGACTCAATAGTTTCTAGATCCAGGTACGCAGAGAATTTTTTTTTTTCGATGAAATAGACAATGAGATACAAATAATTTACAGACAATTTACTAGCATGATTTGAAAATAGGTCAATGGACGGTTAATTAAATTATTTCGAAGATGTGAGTGTGAATTTTTTGTTGTTGTCTTCCTTCAATAAAAAATTATTGATTTTAAATGCTATTTAAAAAAAAGAACAATTCACATTTAAAGTCAAGAAGGAAAAAAAAGTCGGAAGACGAAAATCGAATTTAAAATTCAATTCATTTTTTTTTTCTTAAAAAAATTCAATGCAATTTTTCATTTATGATATATGCGAGTTAAAAAATATTGAATCTATCTCCTTGTTTTTCTGAATATCCAAATATGAAAAATGCACTGAGTTTGAGTATTAAACCAATTATTATAATATGATGGATAAAAAACATATTTGTTTTCGTCTATTAAGGATGATTTGGTAATTAAAAAATTCCTTATTCAGGAAATTAATTCGCTATGTACAAGATTTCAATTTTCAATTATTGAAGAAAAATATTTTCTTTTCAAAGAAAAATGTTTCCTTTCGAAGAAAAATGTTTTTTTACAGTAATAATACAGTATAGTCTAAAAAAATTTATGCCACGTTCAAGAGAAAGTGAACGTTTCCTTTATGTGGAAAATTAAAAAATAGTCTTAGTAAAAAATTAAAAAAAAAATATATTACAATATTGTATTTTGAATAATTATTTTTTAAATAAAAAAAAATCACAGAAAAGTTGATATTTAACGTTCACTTTCCGTTTATAATTAATGAAGAAGATTTTTCGATCCACTTTTCCCTTTTTTGTTGCAATCGTTTAGCCCCGATTACTAATTATATTTCTAACGATTTATTTCATTTCTTTCAACTTTATACACTATAGAAAAATTAATTTCTTTTACAATTGCCACTTGAATTTTCCTTCTTTTTTCTTCTTTGATTTTAATTGCAAGAATTCTAATTTTATTGATTTTAAATTGCAGAAAAATGTAATATTATTGATTTTAATTTCAGAATTGTAATTATTTTAATTGGAGAATTCTAATTTTTTATTGATTTTAATTGCAGAATTTTAATTATTATTTTTAAGATTCAATATTTGAAATTTAAAATTGTTTTTTGAAAATTTAAATATTAGAGGCGGAAACTACTTAAGTTCTATAGTTAGGAAAACTAAAATTCATTACAGAGTATTTTAAGGAGCTACGCGAGTTTTTACATCACACTGAACAATAATTACAGTGAAATTGGGATCAACATTTTTATACTACGCCTTAAAATTTATTATCTTATATCACTGTGAGCCACAGGAGCGAGAAACAATTTTTTTTTCTTTTTTTGTTGATGAATTTTTCAAACAATAATCTCAAGCTCACTGACGCCCTTTTCTTAAAAAGAAAATTATGTACTCAATCACTTTTTCAAAAAGTGCTTTACATTTTTTGTAAATTTGAAAAATATATCCCTGAAAAACGATAAGCGTGCAAACATTGTCGTAGAAAATTTGTTTTTTCAATTATTTAAAATCGGCAAAGTGTAAAAGAATAACAATAAAATTAATAACAAAAAAAAAAAAAAGAAAAAAGAAGAAAAGGAAGAGGAAAAAGAAAAAGAAGTCCCAATATAATAAAGCTGAAGGACCAAAAGATATTAAGATATATTTTTACAAAAAAAAAGCCTCGTTTCTTAAAATGGTCATAGTTTTTTTTCTCTTTTGTAAAAAATAAATAATAAATTCCATTTCACGATTAACATTTACAGAGACGATTAACAAAAAAGAATAGAAAAGAAGAGTATACCTTACTTAAAAAGAAAAAAGTAAAGGTACGTTTTTAAAAAAAAAACCGTAAAAAAATATCTTTGGTGCCCTTAAAAGAATAGAAAATAGCAATATAGTAAAAAGAAAATCACGCTATCGCTTTATCTTGAATTATTCGTCACATATTAAAACAAACTCACATACATTCCTTATCTTCTACACGATTTTCTTCTACCTGTTGATCGTTTAACTCGCTGATGGCGTCTCTCTTTCGATTTTATCATGTCTTGCCATGGGAGAATAAAATCACTGGAAACAATTGTTTTTCTATTAGAAATTACAAAAATACAAAAAGATAAAATTTAATCATTTCGCAATTCTTTTAAAACTATTAATTATTTCAATTCCTCAATTCTTTTAATCTATAGATTATTTCAATTTCTCAATTCTTTCAATCTGTCGATTATTTTAATTATATAAAAATTATTTAATAAATAATAATAAATTAAATAATTAAAAATATTTTATTTCAATAAAAATATCATTTTGTATTCAATAAAAAATAAAATATTCTATTTAATAAAAATAAAAGGATAAAATTATCAATTCAATAAAAATGGGATTGCCCACAGAAATAAAAGTTTGTTTTCCCCTGATTTCGTGATAGAATTTTGACATTTTGCCTGATCCCCATAAAAAAATTCAAAAAGAGTTCAATTTAAAAAAAAAGATAATTTTTAGAAGCAAATAACATTCGAAATTTTAATATTTTTTAAAATTAAAAATAAAAATTAAATAAATGTGTTTAAATTAAATTTAATAAATTATTTTAAATTAATAAAAATTGAAATTATAATTCTTTCGAAATTAAGTTATTTTAGATTCTCGTCAAAATTTCAATTATCTTTAGAAATATTAAAATTCTTCTCTGAAATTCAATTATTTTCAAAAAATCTAAAAAAAAATGGTCAACATCTCAATTATCTTTATAAATAAATAGCAAAATTCTTCGACAAAATTTCAATTATTTTCAAAAGTAATAAAATTCTTTTTAGGATAATTCAATTATTTTCAATAAAATTTTAATCGAATTGCTCGAAAAAATTCTTAAAAATTTTATTAAAATTCGTCCAAAGAATTTAATTATTTAAAAATTTGTTGATAAAATTTTTAATAGAAATTGAATTCCAAGAAACATTCAATTATACAATAAATTATTTATTTTTGTATGTAAATAATTGAATTTTGGTAGAATTTTCACATGAACATTTGATTTAAAAATAGATTTTAGTTAAAATCTTAAGATTATAATTGAATTCTTTCGAAGAATTTCATTAAAATTTTAAAAATAATTGAATTTTATCGAGACATTTTTTTAAAATTGTCTTAAAAAAATAATTGAATTACTACCAAAAAAAGTTTTATCAAAACTTTTCAAAAATGTTTGAATTTCTGCTAAAATTCTGATATTTTTGAAAATAATTGAATTCTTGCAAAGAATTTTTTATTAAAACTTTTGAAAATAATTGAATCTCAGCAAAGATTTTTATTATTTTACGAAAATATTTAAATTCTTGCGAAAAATTTTATTAAAATTTCTAGAATTTTCCTCTTTTTTTTTACCTTAAACTAAAACCGGGTACAGCGGCACCAAATGCATTAACAGGCAATTGAGCATCAACTTGAAGACTTTGTATTTGATCTAAATCTGGCCATAGAGTCTTTACGGTTTCCTCCTCTGTCGATGACGAACAGGGACCACTGTGATTTGTATTGTAACAAGTTGCCTGATGATTTTGTCGTTCTTGTCTCTGTTTCAATTTTTCAATGTGCCGTTGCTCCCTGAAAGAGGAAAAAAATAAGAGCAAAGAAAGAAAAACAATTTTAAAAAATTAAGAAAAAATAAAGAATTAACGAAAAAATAGTGAAATAACTACACGGAAAAAAATACTAGGCTAAAAACACATGAGCGTCTGTTGTGTATATTGCACGCACACTACCATGCGTGATTAGCTTGGAATCCATCCTATTTTCGCATGGTGCTGTGGCAAAAGTCACAAAAGCCATGCATTTTTAGTAAACTCCTGTGTGATATTTGCAAAATGGGCTTATGTAAAAATCGAACCAATAGACTCCATGCATTATTAGGCTGATTTTTTTTTCCGTGTAGAGAAAGAAAAAATAAATAAATAAAGGAAGAAATAAATAAAGAAAAAAATAAAGAACGACAGGAAAAAGTAGAGAAATATACATAGAAAAAAAAGGTTTTTTGACAAAATATATCGAAATCTCTTTACCGTATTCTTTGTACATCCCACCGTTTCCTCCGCCTCTCATCATTTTCAAGTTTAAGATGTCTCTTATTAAATATTTCATCATCCAAATTCTCCGTACCCTCCATTGTATAACAACTCGTATAAACTTTTATCCTCCAATTGGGCACCTCCAACGATTGCGATGTTTCCTGCGGTGTATCAACATTCATTGATAATGAATAATTTGTATCGCCAACAGCCGTATAATAATGATCCTCTGTTGTTAAATAAGATTCTCTTTTTAAAAGAGATTTAATTTTTTTCTCCACTTTTTTCACACCACCATCACCACCAACAACAACACCACCACCAACACCAACACCAAGACTTTTACTACTCTCGCGCACCATTGTACATTGATCATTGATAATTGTCGAGGAACATGAGGCTCCTCTTTTTCGTTTACCCGCTATTCCAACAGGCGTTGGATCGGATCTTCGTTTCTTTTTACTATCCCAATCGTGTCTTGTATTATCATTAACCATATCATTCTTTGTCTCGTGCACATTATTGTGCTCCTGTTTAACAATTGGAATTCCACTACTTGTATTTAATCGTATTTTAAAACTCTCATTATATTGTTGACCGGTGAATTCCGATTGTATTTGTTTTTGATGTTCACTCGTTGATGGAAGACTTTGTATTATATTGACATTTGGTGGTGAACATTGATTAATACGTTCGGTATTTAGTGAATTTTCTGTTGTTTCCGAACGATGTTTTTGAAGATTAACCCTTCTGTCCATCCGCTCGAGGCGTAATTTAAGCTGTGAATTTATACATATTTTTTTTTAAGATTTAAATACTTTTTCAGGGGGGAAAAATGACAGGATAAATAAATTTGGAAATCTCAAATTGATAAATTAACCAAAACGAATTGATTGCACGATCGTTTTAAAAGTTTCATTAATTTCGAATTTTCTCTTGATATTTAATTTCTTTTCGGCAAAAAACAAAATTAGTTACTTTTGCATATTATTTCGTCAGTGTTTTCATTTTATTTATGTAAAAAAATTAAAGCGTGGACGCAACGGTTTTGAAATACCGACTTTAAAACTTTCCTAACCTCAAAAAAGAAAGGAATGCACAAACGAGCGGGACTGTTTTTTTTACATTACCTGATCATTTTTAACTTCATTACGAGACGCCTAGTACTTTAGAAATACTTTTCTACAAATTAAAAGCACACTGACATTCAATTTATTTTGTTTTCATTTAATCTTTTGCGATTAAAAATTACAAATAAAGAGCTCGTGTTGTGAAATCGTAACAATAACTAAAGTTGCATTCATACCGTGTCAACGACGCTTTTTGTGCGCGCGATTTTTAGGTTAGAACAGAGCTTAACAAAAAAGGAAACGAAAACTTGTGAACGGAATTAATAACAAATTTATTATTTTACAATAAACAACAACAATATCAACAATGACAATTATTAATTATTTCCAATTCAAAGTAACATCGATAGTCTACAGTTCTCGAATTGTGTAGAAATTTAAAAAAAGATATTCAATTACAAATTTACCATCTGTCAATATTTATTTACGTTTGAAAAAATGTCCACTTAATAAAAATATTGTTTGAATTTTAAATTATATGTCAAATTTAATTAAAAGTCGCTGTAACAAATAGTAATTTACAATAATTTATTTTAAAGTAAAAACAAGTTGAAAAAAATGTCAACTTTATTACGTGATTTTGCGCAATTTCTCATTTTCGATTAAAAAAAAAAGAATTTTAAATTGTGAAAAATTAATTACATGTCGATAATTAATAATTATTAAAATTTGTAGAAAGGGAAAAAATTTCGTTAAGGAAAATAATTTGACAGCTTTGGGAATTTACAAACTGGGGAATGACAAAAGAAAAGTAAGGTTAATAATAAAAAAAATAAACGTCAAAATTCAAAAAGAAAAAGAAGGAAGGAAATAAATTTTCTATTTTTTACCGTTTCATTTTCCTGTCTGAGTGCAGCGAGTAATTTGTCCTTAGTGACAATTTGCTCTGATTGTTGTTGAATAAGATCCAAGTGCAAAAGAAGTAATTCCTTGAGATGTTTAACTTCACTGAGATCATTTTGTCGTGCCTCATTACCACGCAATGGACTGACACCCAATGCAGAAGTTGCACTTGCTGGAGCATCACCGTCAGTCATACTCGCGTACATATGATCGAAATCCTCGGGAAAACCAAGAATTCCGGCCTTACTGTCCTCGGAGACGTTACGAAAATCGTTGACTGCGTCTGTCGTTGAACTTGCCGTTGTTGTTGTTATCGTTGTACGAACACTATTTGTCGCTGAGGATGATCGTTCATCCTCGTTCATCGCTGCTACCATGTTGTAAGCGGCACGAGCAGCGGCCGCCGCTGCAGTGCGATGCTCACCTACCTGGTAGTCAGCGGCAATGTTGTTGTCGCCACCGACGACGACGCCGCCAACAACAACACCAACACCACCAACAACACACGAACTCGATCTTAATTCACGATAATTATTCACTATTTCAGTGCTTGAATTAAGATTATCAATTAAATTTTCACCGTTCACAAGTTGTTGCAACGGCGAAGTGTTTGACATCTTCTCTCGGTGGCGCCGTCGATGTTTCGGCCGTGCTCATTTGTACCTCGCGCCCCACGCACATCAAGCGAAAATTGAATTTTAACAAGTTAAACCGTTCGTTCACGACGTTCGTCAATCGTTTTCAAGTGAAATAAATTTTCAATTGTCACATGAATTCAGTTAACCGGCGTTTTTTTCAATCATTAACAGATGTAAAATTCACTTGATTCACTTTTGGAGCAGGGCCACTTTGTCATAATGCATCGAACCCCTGGCTGTGTGTCCGCTGCTAAGCTAGTTACTTTCCTCCTACGTTGCCAACCTTCGAAAAACAAATTTTTTTTGTCACTAGTCTGCTAATAGAGCGGGAAATTTAAAAATAAACCAATTTCTTCTTGAAAAAATTTTTTTTTTCTTCTTCTTTATTTTTGCTTTTTGCGACGAACCGTAATCAGTTTGGATCGATTTTTAATTTATTTAATTTCTTTTTGGATTAAAACACGACACTTATCTTCTTGAATTACTAGGGATATTTTTCGAAGCAGGTTCTCGTGTTTATCAGACAACTTCAAGTCGTAAGAGGCATATATTTATAAGCAGGGTGCATTGGCGAGAAAGGGTTATTTTTCCGAAGTCGCTGGTTGAGGAGGACGTAATCATTAATTTCGACAGGTAAATATTATATCCTAAATTAAAAAAAATTAATTAGCGTGTTTTTCTTATCAGTCTAGAACAAATACAAAAACGTTTGTACTTTTTGGAATTTTGTACAATTCGTCGGTGTTTATTTACGTTTTTTTATACTAAAAAAACAATAGAATTTATCTACTGATAAACAAACAATATAAATTATTAAAAAAAAACAACAATAGAAATAGTAACAATAACATGATGTTGATTGTAAAATAATTGGAAATAATTGTCATACATAAAATTCTAAACAAATAGAAAATTACAAAATAAAAAAAAATTTCTTTTTTTAGTAGGCAGAATTTCGAACGATGGATTTATTATATGATAAAATAAAAGATTAATGATTACAAAGATTATGAATTTATTGTTATCGGAAATTAATTTTAAGATAAGGTTATTGACACTTGAAAGATTTTTCGCTCTCTATTATCGTTTTGCTCTCTTGCATCACATAAACTGTTTGTTTATAATTAATACACTGAGAATAATATATCGAATGATAGTTTAATAATTTCGTCATTTTTTTAGTGACTGCTTTCGAAAATGATGTTTTTAATTCGAAAAATACTTCTTCTCGAAATAATACTTATCATTTCTTGTGCGTTGGCTGAATATAAAAATCCTCTTGTTGTTATTACTTGGGATTATTTCGAGGCTACTGAAAAAGGTAAATAAAGGCAAAAAATTATTTATGTGTAAATGTATGAATTTTCAGTTGAAAAAAATTATTTTTAACGGTCTTTTTTTCTATCAGCTTGGCAGACAATATTTAGGGAAAAAAGAAGTTCTTTGGACACAATTGAGGAAAGTTGCACTTTATGTGAAAGTCTTCAATGTCGAACGACTGTTGGGTTTGGAGGCAGTCCTGATGAAAATGGTGAAACTACGTTGGATGCTCTTATCATGGATGGGTATAATTTTCATTTTAATAATAGTTTTCTATTTTTATTTTCACTTTAGTGTTTTTTTTATTTTAATATCAAGATTCTATTTTTTTTACTATTAGTTTTTTTATTTTTATTTAAATTATATTTATTTATAGAATAAATAAAATTCATAGAAGACCATATTTCTAGTCTTTTATTATTAATTTAGTACTAATATTCTATTTTTATTTTACTATTCGTTTTTTTATTATTACTGTTTTATAGTATTTTATTTTATAATTTTTTTATTAGTTATAGTATTTTATTTTTAATTTACTGTTAGTATTCTATTTTTATTTTCCTATTAGTATTCTATTTCTATTTTACAATTAATTTTTAAATATTTTAGTATAATATTAATACTACTTAAACTGAAATTTCTTTATAATTTATAAAAAATAAATTATAAATATTTTTTTGTAGAGTAAAAATGGACGTTGGTGGTGTGGGTTTACTCAGAAATGTCAAGAATGCAATTTCGGTGGCACGAAAAGTTTTGGAAAATACAGAACACTCACTTCTTGGTGGCGAACTCGCTCAAAATTTTGCCGTTGAAATGGGTTTTAAAAATGAATCTTTAGAAACGACGAAGTCCTTAAATGTCTGGCAAAAGTGGAGAAAAAATAACTGCCAGCCAAATTTTTGGAAGGTACAATTTTTATTCCTTTTTTTTTAATCGAAATTTTACACAATTTTTCGAATATTTTAATTGTACAGAAATTAATTTATTTATGTAATTTCTAATCTGAATTTAATTTGAAAAGAATTATTTAATTAAAATTTATAATTAAGAGAAAAATTTTTAAAAAGTTAAATGAGTTAAATGTTTAAAAGTTACAAATTTATAATTTTGGAAAATAATTCGTTTTGGAAAAAATCATTTGATTTGAATTTGTAATTTGGAAAAAAATCTAAAAAGAGAAACTAAGTTTAAATTCGTAATTTGAAGACAATAAAACAATAATTGACAATAAAAAGAATAATTTAGATTGGAAAATAATTTAAAATATCGAAAAAATAATTTAATCTAGAAAAAATAATTTATTTTAAATTTATAATTCGAAAAATAATTTAATAGAAAAAGAAGAGTTTAGTCTAAATTTATAATTCGGAAAATAATTTAATAGAAAAAGAAGAATTTAGTTAAAAATTATAATTTGGATAATAATTTGATAGAAAAAAAAGAATTTAGTTTAAATGTATAATTCAAAAAAATTATTTTCTATTTAGAATGTAAAGCCTAATCCTTCAAAGTCCTGTGGACCGTACACGCCAATAAAGGAAGATTTTCTAAGGGAGAAGACGGAAAATTTACCTGTTTGGAGTCAGGAAAATCATGACACAATTGGAGTTATTGCAATGGACACTAAAGGACACATAGCGGCAGGAACTTCCACGAATGGGGCAAAATACAAAATTCCAGGCCGAATTGGTGATTCACCGATCGCCGGAGCCGGTGCTTATGCAGACACAAATGTCGGTGCCGCCGCTGCAACTGGTGCTGGTGACATTATGATGCGCTTTTTACCCAGGTAAATTTTTTCTATTGCTTTTTTTTCCTTTTTTTTTCTTTCTGTTTCCTTTTTTTTATTCTTTTTGTTCCCTTTTCTTTTTTTGCTTTTCTTTTCTTTCCCTTATTTCTTTTCTTTTTTATTTCTTCTCTTTTCGTTTCTTCTTCTTTTTTTCCTTTCTTTTCCGTTTTTCAAATTAAAAACGTCTTATTTCTTTTTTAAAATTTTCAAAATTTTGCAATTAAATATAAATTTAATTGTTACATACGATGTTGTGTTAATTTTATTATTTACTAGTTATTATAACATTAATTATTCCGACAAAATATTATTAAATACCATCAAAACAATTTCATTCAAGTTTTTCAAATAATCGTGTTTCTTAATAATTGAAATTAAACAATTAAATTATTGAATTTTACGAAAATTATTAAAATCTTCTCAGAATTTTATTATACAATTTTCTAAAATAATTTAATTAATTTATGGAATTTTATTAAAATATAGAAAATAATTGAATTCTTTTGAAAAAAATTTTTTTAAAAATTAAGAGAAAAATTGAATTATTTCGTGAAATTTTATTGCAAATTATTGAATTTTTGCAAAGATTTTACTATTTAAAAAAATAATCAAATTGTGAAAGATTTATTAAAATTTTTAAAATTTTATTAAAAGTAATTGAATTTTTGCAGAGAATTTTACTATTTATAAAGAAAATTGAATTGTTTGGTAGGATTTTGAAAATTTAAATTACTTATAAAATTAATTATTAATTAAGTTTAATAATAAAATAATTAATGGAATCATTAATGAAATGAAAAATATAAATACATTTATAATTTATAAAGAAAAAGAGAAAAAAAAATTATTATATACGAAAGTAACAAAAAAAGTAGTAGAAAAAATACAGGTTTTCAAAATTTCTTTTAAAGTTTCCTTGCGGTGGAAGAAATGAGAAGGGGAGCAACACCGAAGGAAGCAGCAACGACTGCAGTTCAAAGAATAGCTGAATATTATCCTAAATTTTCCGGTGCAGTTATTGCTTTAGACAAGAATGGCAATTACGGAGCTGCATGCAATGGACTTGACAGTGAAGAATTTTCAAATGGTTTTCCATATTACGTTGTTAATACAAAATTAGGAAAACCAACATTAAAATACGAATCGTGTATTGATAGTAGTTTCTCTCCACTTGTCAATCAAATTTTATAGTATTTTTCCTAATTTTACACAAATAATTACATATTTTTTGTAAAGTTTTGATATAATTATATTTATTATATAATTGTCATGTTAATTAATAATTATAAAAATGTATTTTGTACATTAAAGGATAAAAAATTATTATTACTGAACTATTATATATTATTATTATTATTATTATTATTGCTTTTTTGTTTCTTAACTTTTTTATAATTTTTCTTTTCAAATATTTTCAATTTTAAAATTAATGTATTGAAAATCATCGAATTGTTACAAAGAATTTTATCAAAAAATTTGATAATAATAGAATTCCTTCAAAGAATTTTATTATTTAGGAAAATAACTGAATTCTCGCAAAGAATTTTATTAAAATTTTTTAAAATCCTAATTAAATTCTTTTGAAGAATTTCTTTGAATTTTTTTTAAACTAATAGTTTTTTTTAATAATTTTAATTGACAATTTTTAAAAGCAATTGAATTTTATGAAGCTAAGAATTTTATTAAAATTGAATTGAAAATAATTGAATTCTTGCGAAGAATTTTACTATTTATAAAAATAATTGAAATGTTTCGAAGAATTTATTAAAATTTTAGAAAATAATTGAAATTTATGGAAATATTTTTAAAGAGAAAGAAGGATTTATTTAAATTTTAGAAAATATAATTAAATTCTTTCAATTAAATAAAATTTTACATTTACTCATAATTTGAAATTCGTGGCATCCAATATGGCCGTTATATGACGTAGTTTTTTCATATGCGCGTGAACGTTGACTTTACAATAGTTCGATCATGGCTTTTTGTGCTTTTTATTAGTTGATTTTGCTTCTTAATTATTCTTATCTGCATGATAAATTTTTAATAAAGAAGTAAACCAGCAGTTTAACTGTGTATTTCAATAAATAGTTTCTTATTTTTTCAAGAGTATTATAAAGTCTTTCATTTCTAGAAATATTAAAAGGGCTAGTGATCAGACAACATGGGAGTCCCGAAGTTTTTTAGATACATAAGCGAAAGGTATCCTTGTTTAAGTGAAAAATTAAAGGAATACCAGGTAATTATGTTTCTTTTTATGAAAATTTATTAAATTATTGTTTCTTTGGTAAAAATTGGAAAAATTTCAAACGCTGTAAACATAACCTAATTTTCATTTTTTTTCGTATATGCACCATACAACAATTATTTTGGCTTTCTTTATTTGTAATCTATATAAAATTCTGGAAAAAGATCATTGAATTATTCTGATATAAATTTGTTTTGACAATTTTATCATCAATTTGTAATTCGCTGATTAAATGCGTTAAAAATACATTTTTTTCTTGTATGCCTATACAAACAATGCAAGATCATTTTAAGGTCGCTAAATATTTACATATGGTTTGACAATTGCTTAAAATTACACCATCATTAGCAATTTTATTTTTATGTTAAAGACGGGAGTTTAATTAAATTCTTTAGATATTGAAATTTTTTAAAATTAAGATGCATTTTTTAATTCTTTTTTTTAAATGTCAAAATATAGTTAAAATAAGGATAATTTTCGTTTCTTTTAGATACCAGAATTTGATAATTTATATTTAGACATGAATGGTATTATACATAATTGTTCGCATCCTAACGATGCAGATGTACAGTTTCGTATTTCCGAGGAAAATATTTTCAAGAATATATTTCATTATATTGAAATACTATTCAGAATGATTCAGCCACAAAAGGTATTTTTCATGGCTGTTGATGGCGTTGCTCCGAGAGCGAAAATAAATCAACAAAGAGGTCGAAGATTCAGATCGGCGAAGGAAGCGGAACTTGCTGAAAAGAAGGCCCAAGCAAAGGGCGTTGTTTTGCCAAATGAAGCAAGATTTGATTCAAATTGTATCACACCAGGCACACTCTTTATGGCGAAACTCACAAAACACTTGAAATACTTTATAACTTATAAAATATCCACAGACAAACTTTGGCAAAAGTGTAAAATTATTTTAAGTGGTTCAGAGGTATTTTGAAAAAAAAATAGATTCTTGTCTTTCACAGTATTCTTATTATTATTGTGCAAGTGTGAAATAAATTTTATTTTAATTTAGGTTCCCGGTGAAGGTGAACACAAAATCATGGACTATATTAGATACATGAAATCTGAACCGGATTATAATTCAAATACACGGCATTGTTTATATGGTCTTGATGCCGATCTTATTATGTTAGGTTTATGTACGCACGAGCCACATTTTTCTTTATTGCGTGAGGAGGTGCTTTTTGGAAAGAAGCAGAAGAAAATTTTAACACCGGAAGAAACGAATTTTTGTTTATTACATTTGTCGTTAATGAGAGAATATCTTGAACATGAATTCTCACCGTTAAAGGCAAAATTATCTTTTGAGTTTGATATTGAAAAAATAATTGATGACTGGGTATTGATGGGATTTTTGGTTGGGAACGATTTTATTCCAAATCTTCCAAATTTGCATATAGCTCATGGCGCACTGCCAATTTTATATAACGCATACATGGAAGTACTTCCCACCTTGGAAGGTTTGTTTATTTACAATTTTCCGTCGAGTTTATTTAATCCTTTTAATCTATTTTATTTTTCTGTTTAAAATTTTTTCATTGTCAATTGTGTTAACTGATTTGTTATTTTGTAATTTTTGTCTCCAGGCTATATTAACGAAGCAGGAACGCTAAATCTTGAACGATTTGAAAAATTTATGGAAAGACTTAGTCAGTTTGACGTTGAACAGTTTGAAGAAGTTTATGCTGATTTGAAGTATTTTGAAGCTAAAACAGGTAGAAGACCTAATGAAACAGAGCGACTTAATTTAAGAAATGAAGAGGATTTCGAAGATTTTGGAGCAGTTGCTTCGAAACCAATAAGCAAAGATTTAGCAAACTTAATCAAAGCGACTGAAGATTCAGTAAGTTTTCGTTTATTTTCTATATTTACACTCCTGTTTTCTTTTTAATTTTTATTAAAAGTACTGGAAAAAATTAAATTTTTAGAATTCATAAAAAAATTCTCAATTTTTGTGTCTTTTTTTTTGTTTGCCTCATAAACTATGAAATTACCACGAAACCTTCAATTTTTCTTTATTTCTGACAATAATTTCTAATTAAAATAACTTCATTCATAAATAGATGAATTTCAAAGGGTATTAATTTGAAATTTTATAAAACTTCAATTTTTAATTAATTTAATTAGAAATTTTAAAGAACTTAGATTTTTGGAAAATTGTAATATTTCAAATTCTTCTGAAATTAGTTAAATTTTTTAATAATATATGTATCTAATTAATTATTAAAAATAATGGATTTATAGAAGAATTTTAGTTCAAAAGTTTAAAAAAAATCCTCGTAAAAATATCAATTATCTTTATTAATAATGAAAATTCTTCTCCGAAATTCAATTATTTTCAAAAAATTTAATAATAATTTCTAGACAAAATTTCAATTATTTTCAAAAATTTTCCTCAATTCAATGATTTTCAATACCAACTATTTGAATAAAATTTTCCAAAAGAATTCAATTATTTAAAACAAATTTTTGTAAAATTCTACGAAAACATTTAATTATTTTCATAAATAATAAAAATATTCCAGAAATTCAATTATTTACAAATTTGTTATAAATTTCTTCGTAATAATTACATTATTTTCATAAACTATACATTTTTTTACAGAGATTCAATTGTTTTCGTAAATAATAAAATTCTTTTTAGCAATACAATTATTTTTTATAAATAATAAAATTCCTCACAGAATTTCAATTATTTTTAATTCAATTTTTTAAATAAAATTTTGAAAAAGAATTCCATTTTTTTCATAATTCGTTATAAAATTTTTCAAACTAATTCATTTATTTTCTAAAATTGAAATAAATCCTTCGAAACAATTCAATTATTTTTATAAATAGTAAAACTTTTTTGCGGAAATTCAACTATTTTCTAAACAATTTTAATTGAATTCCTCGAAAGAATTCAGTTTTTAAAAAAATTTGTAATACCTTTCGAATAGATTAAATTATTTTCTAAACTTTTAATAAATCCTTTAATTCAATTATTTTTAATCCAATTTAAATAAAATTACACGAAAGAATTTAATTATTTTCAAAAATTTCCATAAAATTCAATTTCCACAAGAATTTAAAATTCTCTAAAAATAATTCAATTATTCTCAAAATATTTTTAAAAAAATCTATATAAATCTTAAATTACTTTCAATGCAATTTTTTAAATATATTCGTCAAAAAATTCAATTATATTTTTAAATAGTAAAATTCTTGGCAAAAATTCAAATATTTTTAAACAAATTTCACGATAGAATTCAATTTTTTTCTTAATTCGTTATAAAATTTTCCAAACGAATTCAATTATTTTCTAAAATTTTAAGAAATCCTTCGAAACAATTCAAATATTTTTCTAAATAGTAAAACTTTTTGCAGGAATTAAATTATTTTCAAAACAATTTTTATTGAATTCCTCGAAAGAATTCAATTTTTAAAATAATTTGTAATACATTTCTAATAAATTCAATTATTTTCTGAACTTTTAATAAATCCTTCAAAACAATTCAATTATATTTTTAAATAGTAAAATTCTTTGCAAAAGTTCAATTATTTTTAAAAAAATTTCACGAAAAAATTCAATTTTTTTCTTAATTCGTTATAAAAAAATATCAATAGAATTAAATTATTTTCTAAAATTTTAATAAAATTCAATAATTAAATGTTTAATTTCATTTATTAGCAAACACGATTATTTTAAAAAGTTGAAAGAAATTGTTCATAAAATTTAACTATTTTCAAAATTTTTAATTAAAATTATCAAAGAAACTCTATTATTTAAAAAAAAATTTAAAGAAATTCTTCAAAAATAATTTAATTAGAATTTTCAATAATTTTAACAAAATTCTCCACGAGAATTCAATGATTTTCCTAAATAATAAAATTCTTCGAAGGAATTCTATTATTATTAAATTTTTTGATAAAATTCTTTGCAACAATTTGATGATTCTCAATACATTAATTTTAAAATTGAAAATATTTCAAAGGAAAAATTATTAAAAAACTTACGAAACAAAAAAGCAAACTCGGTCGTGTTTAATTATTATTAAATATGAAGAAATTGATCACTTCTCGGAGTGCTCGATATCTTCATGTTTTATAATAAATATTCTTAAATTTTTTACTTCTGTTTTTTACTTCTGTTTTCATTAAAATATATACTTTTTTCAACAGTTATTATTAGGTTCTTCTGATGATGAAGAGATTTTGGATGACGATTCAGACAGTGAAATTTATAAATTAGAGTTCGCTCAACACAAAAGAGATTATTATATGAAGAAAATGGATTATGACAATGTTGACGAGTAAATATACAAATTCTTCTATTACTTTTTTTTAACATTTTATTTATTTATTTCTTTTTAATAATAATTTCCTCTGCGTCATAAAATTTGATTATTATCAAATTTTTATTTTACTCTCGTTTACAGACAAGTTTTACGATCACAAGCAGAAGGTTATGTTCGTGCAATTCAGTGGAATTTGCACTATTATTACAATGGTTGTTGTAGTTGGTCGTGGTACTATCCACATCATTATGCGCCGTATATTTCCGATATAAAAGACTTTAAGGATTTTAAATTAGAGTTCGATATGGGAGTACCTTTCTTTCCGTTTCAACAATTATTGGCTGTATTGCCAGCTGCCAGCAGGGAACTACTACCAAAAGCATTTCAAAGTCTATTAACTCAAACAGAATCGCCGATCATTGATTATTATCCCCTTGATTTTAAAACCGATTTAAATGGCAAAAAACAAGAATGGGAAGCTGTCGTTCTAATTCCATTTATTGACGAAAAACATTTAATTAATGGTTTGTAATGATTTTTTTTAACTCGATTTTGAAATTTATTTATTTGGTTTTTAATTTAATTAATCAAAATTTTAGCAATGACGCCTTATGATTCGCAATTGTCAAATGAGGAAAGGAGAAGAAACACTCATGGTCCAATGTGCATTTTCACTTACACTGAAGAAGACATGGGAGAGTATTCAGTACCTGAATATTTTCCCACAATAAATAGTCATGCAAATTGCAAACTCGTTAATCGAGAAGAAATTTTAGTTCCTGAGGATAAACTTGTTAAAGGACTCTATCCGGGAGTTAAATTAAGTGTTTATTTCTCTGGATTTCCCACTTTGCAACACATTGCACACACTGCTTCTCTTCAAAAAGCCAAGGTATTTGTTTTTTAAATTTCAAAACATAATTGAAAATAAATGAAAATTAAATTAGATTTTTTAAATTAAGATAATTTATGTGTTTTAATTATAATTTAAATTATTCATTACCATTATTATCGAATTGTAAAAGAATTTTTCTACTCAAAAATGATTATTATATTTTAAAAATTGTATTTTTTAAGGTGAAAGTTTTCGAGCAGCCGTCTCGTGGTGAAAACATGATTTTGAAAATCGCGTCAAAAGCAAAACCTGATTTGGATAAAGTCGCAAGTGAAATATTGGGTAAATCGATTTTCGTCGGTTGGCCAAACTTAACGGAGGCCTTGGTTATTGGTATTTCGGACGATAAATGGAAAATTCAGTGTGATCCGCAGGCGAATCAAAATAATTCGATAAAAGAGCCAGTCGAAGGACCATTTGTTACACAAAGAATACTTCAGCAGAAAGCTATTATTGAACAGTAATTCTACTTCATTAATTCTTTTTACTTATAGTTATTTTGGATCTATATTTATTATTTTTCTCTTTTTATTTATTTTTGATTATTTTAATTTATTTATTTTATTTATTTGAATTTCTGTATTTTTTTAGTCACAAAGTCCGTATGGGAATTGATATTGAAAACATCGATATTTTGGTACACGCTCGTCCTATCGTTGGACGGAAATACATTTTTGGATCTCAGGGAAAATTGACATTGGAAAAAGAATGGAGTGATTTTGAATCATCGTACGCTTATCAGGTTACATTAAAGGATATAAATGTTCATGACAAAAGTTTTGTTCAGTATTCAAGCGTCACCGAAGTTTTCAAGCCGAAAAGCACTTGTTTCATGTTGGGACATCCACATTACGGAGCTATGGGCGAGGTAAGTAAATTATTAATACAATTATTAATGAAAAAAAAATTGTTCATCATTTGGACTAGAAAATAATGGATTATATTAAAAATATTTGAATTTAGGTGAATGATCCTGGTGTGGATATAAAAACAGGACGAGTTAAAGTTGCAATGAGAATTTTCACCCAACCGAACTTTGATGACGTTAAACAGAAGCAAAGGGAAACGAGATTATTGTTTATGCATGGCAGTAAAGCTGCTCAACATTTGGGTATTGGCAGTCATCTTTTGAGTAAAATAACGGGCACTATTTTCGTAATGCCAGGCTCAATTGAACAGAATTTGGGAGGTGTGAGACAGAACGTTGGACTGAATCTGAAATTCAACAAAAGAAACGAAGAAGTATGTGTATTTAGTATTTATTTTTGCATTTTCTTCTAAATTTATATTTTATTAATTACTAGCAAAAGTTATACAAATTACAAAATTTTTTGTACTTTTTGATGAACTTTTATTTGATATTAAGATTTCTGAATTTATATTTTCTTATTTTTTCGCATCTTTTTTACTTTTTGTTACTAAGATCTTTAAATTTATATTTTATCAATTTTTATTTATATTTTCTCTAAAGGTACCGGGATTTACGAGAAAAGAAAATGGACAGTGGCTGTATAGTACAAAGGCTCTTGAGCTTTTAAAAAATTACATTGCAAATTTTCCCGTCTTATTTGAAAATTTGGGAAGAAACGCTGGAAGTGAAATGTACTTTGCTAACGAACTTTTCGGAAAAGAGTACGTATTACTTTGATTATTATTATTATTTTTTTAAAAAAGTTCTTAAATAAAATTTCCATCTTATTTTCATTATCAAATGGAGCGGTTTTGAAAAATAATTGTCGTGTATAATTTTAGGACTGATATGTTGGAAAAAGCAGTTGCTTGGGTAAAGGAGCAACAGGAGAGTTTAAATATCGAAAGCCGAGCATGCGGCACCGAGAGTTTAGATTCAGAAATTGTTTTGAGCATTGAAAACAAAATAGATTCGTGTCTCGAAACAATTGAGAATTCATACAAAACAGTATTTATGCAAGTAAAACCACACTTGCTGTTCAAACCGAGTTTAAATTCTGGACATTTTGCACCCGATGGCAAAGCCTATCATAAAGTTTTTGACAGGATAATTACAGTTCGCGAGAGTTTTACAGTCCCGCTTGGTTATAAGGGTACAATTGTTGGTGTTCACAAAGGAGAAAATTTGATGAGCAACACGTATGAGACAGTATTCGACAAACCTTTCGTTGGCAAGTGAAATTTAATTTTTATCTTTTATAAAAAAAACTCTATAAACATTTCTTTTAAATGGAAAATTAAATTACTGATAAAATTTATTAAAATCTATCTATTTAAGAATATTTATTTTTCTCAAATGTTTTAAAAATTGTGATATTATGTTTCATTTGCAGGAGGAATTGTTATTCATGGATGTTCAAAGAATCGTGGATATAGATTATCAGCGAGAGATTTTATAAATCTTTCATATGGAAGGAGAGTTGAATTGGGTAAATCGGGAAAAAGTGATGCACCACCAGTTGAATCGTGGCGATCGAATATTTCATTAACACCAACACGTGAAAATACGAGTGCTTTCGTAACATTCAATTACAATCAATTTCCACCAGCGGGCTTTGCAAAGCACGGTGAAACGAAATTTCCATTCTCACGAACCATGCCGCCAATGCAGAATAAACCTAATGTTGTTGGTGGTGAATTTAAAGCACAGCAAATACCATTCAGCAGTATGCCACCCCAAGATGTGAGAATGATGAATAAGAAACCTTCACAACCAATTCAGAACAAACCGCAACAACAAAATAGTGTTAAGGATCCGTCAGAATTCCAAGCACTTTGGAATGGAATGTTACAGGTATTTAATTCGATAATTTTCATTTAAATAATATTTTTCTATTTTGATAATACGATAACAGGCTTTGCACTCATTTACTAAAAATCTACTATTTACTACTTTTTTTACGTTATGCTACTATTTGGGTACTTTTTTATATTTCAGCCACTAAAAGCTACTACTACTTCTTGAAAATTCAATTATTTAAAAAAAATTTTAATAAAATCGTTCTCAAGAATTTAATTATGTTCAAAAATAACAAAATTTTTCACAGAAATTTTGGTCGTCAAATTTAATTTTTCGATAGCTACTTTTTCACTACTTTTCTTAGTTTGAAAGCTACTTTTGATAATTTTTTAAAATTAAATTATCGAGTGCGAAGTGTACGATAATTAATTTCTCTATTTCTAATTTTGAATTGCAGAGAAATAATCTACCACAAGAACCGTCACTTCCAATGCCTAATTTACCAAAACCACCTGCAGAGGGAAATAAAAATTCGGTACGTAATAACAATCTTTTTATTATCGTGTTGTTTTATAATTATTCTAACAAATCTTTGTTATATTCACATAATAAGCAGCAATTGGAAATGCAAAATTGGGTAATTAAAACAATTTTGTAAATAGTAATTTAAAACCACAGTTGATTTCTTTTAATTATTCTTGTTCAATTTTGGTATAAAATCTATAAAAATCGTTTTATTTTCAATTTCTTTTTTTTCAGAAAAAGACATTTTTTTTTATTTTTTATTCTTATGTTTGTTTGTTTAAAGTATTGCATGTTTTCTTTCTTTTTTTCGTAATTGTCGAAAATTTTGTGCTATTGTTTTGTAATTATTTGAAAGTGAATTCCTTGACTAACAATTTCAAAATAATATTTTGGTTATTGTATTAGAAAAAATTAACAAATTTACTAAAATCGTAGCCTCAAGATCCTAGTGCATTTTTGAAGGCAATGCTGAAAATTTCCGACGAAAGTACAAAAAGCAGCACTACGCCTTCATTGCCCGCAGAGCCGACAACAACAAACAAACCTTTTACGTTTCCGCAACCACCAAACGCACCCAACACATCAGAAGCTCCGCCGTTGGTACAACGGTTATTTGATGTATGTCACCAAACTCTTTGCGATCCCAAAAAACCAATTTCCTTCTTTTTTAATTCAAAAAAGAATCTTTCTCTCGATTCTAAACAAAATTCGTTTTAAACTAATTTATTTCTTTTTTTTTCATTGAAGTTCTTCCTAATCTCCTAAATTTTTATTGTAGAATGTCTTTTCTATATTTATAATTCTTGACTTTCAAATTTTTTTTTTTTAATAAAAAAATAAATGTTCTTTTTCAGCGTGCACGAGAAAATGAGAAGAAACGCGAAGGAAAGTTTTACAGTTCTCAATTACTTTCATATTTCCAACAAAATTGTAAAGGACTGCCTCATTATACATTCATAACTAATGATCAGAAAAATCTAGTCTGTGCGCAAATTTTCCTACCCGACAGGAGAATATTTGGTGGTGACTTTTGTCCTACTTATCCCGAAGCAACTGAAAATGCCGCCAAGAAAGTTTATAAGGTAGGAGAATTTTTGGAAACCACTGACTTTTACAAACACTTTATTTTTGAAGAGAATTTTTAAAGAAAATTTAAAAATTTAAATTTTTAGTTTGAGAATTTCTCAAACTAAAGTTACAAATTTTTTATTATACAAAAAGTACATTGAATAAAATTCTAAAATTCATAATATAATTATATAATTTTGTTTATTATTTATAGGAATTGCAGTTGGATAAAGTGCAGAACACTAGAATTTTGGCTCCACCACCACAACAATGGTATAACACAAGATTTCCAATGAACAATAATGTTCGACCACCATTACCACCGCCAATTCATCAAATGAATCATCAACCAATGAGAAATCCTCCACCACTACCATTTTATTCTCCGATTCCCTGTGGAAATACGCGACCATTAAATCCTCCACAATGGCCTAAAGTTAAAGAATATAGAAAAAATACACCTTTCGTTCCTTTGCAAGCACAAAAGCAAAATAGAAATATTAATAAACCGGCGAACGAGAAATTCCAAAAGGAGTCTTTTAAAGAACCATCGGAGAAAAAGAGTAATCATAATCTAAAAGAAAATACTCAGAAGGTAAAAATTAGAAAAAACTTCTAAATTTTTATTATTTACTTTTACACAAAAAAAAATGAATTTAATTTATTTATCAAATGAAATATTCACTTTATTTTTAATGGAATTTACAGAAACCAAAGGAAGAAAAGACACCTCACGTTAAAGTTGAAGACAAAAAGAATGTTGCAAATAATTCACAAAAAACGCAAAAATCAGGAAATCAGAGAAAGTCACGTATTGCTGCAAATTTTAGTTCGGCAGCTCTATCTAATGGAGGAAACAAACAATAAAAAATTTGTTTTCATCATCAGGAAATGTAAAACATAAAACTACATAGAACTTAATGATATTAAGCGTAAAGGACGTATATTTTATTACTGAAATCAATTTTTCATATCTTTAAAGAAAACAAGAACTGATTTGACGTAAATTTTTTTGAAATGCGCTGTACTTAGATTTTTTTTCCCGCCATCCGTTTTTTCAATCATTTTTACGACAATTTAAATTGTTTTTTAAATTTTTTCGATTTTAAAAGAAATCATGAAAAAAAATTTGTTATTGTTTTTAGAAATCATAAATTTAATGAAAAAACAATTTAAAAAAAAGAATAATGTAAATTATTTTATTGCATATGAATTAAAAATTAATTCGAATGTTATTTACAAAAGAAAAATTATTTCTATTGTATATTTTTACCCTTTTTTTCAAGTACAAGTTTTTAATTACTTTTTGTAAAAGTTTCTAATTTTTGCTTAAAATTAGAATATATTTTTTATTTCTCTAAGTTGACTGTGATAAAAGTTATTCATTTTTTTTTTACTTTTGAATATGTACAGTGCATTTAAAAATTTTTTCGGATTGTACAGATGACTTAAAATATAATTGAATAATTGAACCAATTTACTTCTGTTGATTGAGAAAAAAAACGAATCTTTTGTTTAAAACAAATAAAAAATTCTTTAAAAGTGAATGAAAGTGAATTCTATTTTATTTCATTTCATTTCTGATAAAGTTAAGGTTTAAGAATTATACATTTTTTAATCATTCAGTTAATCTCTTTTTTTTATTATACATTTTTTTTAATACTCCAGAAAATATAAAATAACGTTTTAAATATCTTTTATATGTAATAAATAAATGTTTGGTACATTTTCATAAATCACTGAGTTTCAATGTTTTCGTTGTGAAAAGATTAAAATTTTCTTAGTTTTCTTTTAATTCTAAAAATTGTAAATATTTAATATTTGTTAAAATTGATTGAAATATATTGCAAAATAAATTTTTGAACTGAACATAGCAAAATTAGATTTTGTTCGTCATAATTAGTAAGAAGTTTTTTTTGTTTTTGTTTTTTAAACTTGTATGGCGCATCTAAGATTATTACTGGCATTATGCTGAAGACATTGTAAACTAAAGTCTTTCAACGTTTCGCAAAGTCGTCTTTTACTGGTCCTTTCCTTTAAAATATTACGAATTAAATTCTCCTTTACAGACTGTGGAACTTGGGGAATCGCTTGTTCTACGAGAGTATTTCTTAGCCACTGCGACGTCCATTCCGTGCACATTTTATTTAGGGATAATAAAACTTCGGCGTGGGCTTCTAAATTATTTCTCGGAACGCTTCCAGCTGAAAATAATTTAATTACCAATGAATAAGAAGATAATGTCTGTTCGCAGTTTTTAATTACATAGTTGTATTTATTTGCATTTTTGTTTCCTAATTTTTTTTTATAATTTTTCTTGTTAAATGTTTTGAATTTGAAATTAATCAAATTCTAATTTAATGTTTTCAAGATTAAATAATAACAAAAATTAATTAAACAAAATTGTTGTGAATTAAAAATCATAATTCAATTTGTAAATTCAATTAAACATTCAGAAACATAAATTGTAATAAAATTGTAAGAAGAATTCAATTATTTCCCAAAATTTTTAGAAAATTCAATAAGTAAGTGTTTAATTTCAATTATTATAAGAAACGCGATTATATTTAAAACTTGAAAGAAAGTTTTCATTAAAGTTAATTACATTCAAAATTTTTAATTAAAATTATTAATAAAACACCATTACAAAAATTGAATTCTTATAAAGAAGTTTATCAAAACTTTTGAAAATAATTAAATTGTTTCAAATAATTTTATACAAATTTTTGCTAATAATAAATGAATTTTTTAAAGAAATTTATTAAAATTGTATTGTAAATAAATGAATCTCTGTGAAGAATATTAATATTCACCAAAATAATTGAGTTCTTGCGAAGAATTTTATTAAAACTTTTTAAAAAAAGTCAAATTCTTTCGAGGAATTAATTAAAATTGTATTGAAAATAATTGAATTATTTCGAAGGATTTTGTATTAAAATTCTTCAAAATAATTAACTTCTTTGGAGGAATTTAATTAAAATTATATTGAAAATAATCGAAACTTAGATGAAATTTTTATAATTTTATCAATATTTTTGAAACTAATTGAATTCTTTCAGAGGATTTTATTAGATCTTATAAAAATAATTGAATAATCTCGAGACAAATTTTTATTAAAATTTTGTAAAATGATTGAATTTTTTTCGAGAAATTCATTGAAATTAATTGAATCACTGAGGAAAATTTTATTATTCATGAAAATAATTGAATTCTTACGAAGAATTTTATTAAAATTTAAAAAGAATATTTGAATTACTTCGAAAAATTTTATTAAAATTATATTTGAAATAATTGAATTCTAGCGAAGAATTTTATTAAAATTTTTGATAATTATTGAATTGTTCCGAAGGATTTTATTAGAATTATTAAAAATAATTTTAAAACTTAAAAAAATTAAATAAAGCTTAAAATACACTAAAAATTTAAATATTGAACTGCTTTTTGTGGGTCTCAATAAAAAAGGTTCGAGTGTATCAAGAATTTTAAAAATTCTACTCAATAACTATTAATTAAATAAATAATTAATTAATTACCAATACACTGTATTAGAACGCAAACGAGTTCCTGACCAACTGGTTGTATAAATGTTTGTAAATGTGGACTTTGCATTATGGCATGAGTGAGAAAACTACCAGCAGCTCTCGTCGTTCCCGTTTCTGGTAGAAGTAAACAAGTTATTCCTAAAACAATAATTTAAATTTTAATAAATATTCCCTTATAATAATATTAATATTCATTTAAATTCAAAAAGTACCAGTTAATTCATTTTTTTTATTTTTCCAATCTAAATAGAAAAAAAATAATTTTGTAAGCAATTAAAACTTTCATCTGAATTTTTTTTTAATTTTTAAATTATTATTATTAATTAATATTAATTTTTAAATTAAAATTATTGAAAAATGGTTCTTACCGCATTTTAGCATTTGCGGAACTTGATCTGGAATTTGAAGTAATAATGTGGCATTCTTTTTACAAATTTGTGCCAATAATCCTAAATAAGCTTCGAGTAAATCGGAAAGATCGGACAAATTGCCACCGACTGATTGACAGGCTGTAACGCCTGACAGTGTAATACTACTGAGCTCGGCAAATACTGGACCAACGGTATTATTAGGATCTCTACCGAAGAGTAGAACAAAACTTTTCAAAAGATCTAACGCCATTGGATGTGGCTTTATTTTATAAGACATACTCAATATTGTCAATAGTGGTCTTGCATCCTCCTCGGGATATGGTAGGGACGATAAAGATTTTTGTGCACACGAATGCATTGCCTCTAGAGTCATGTCATCCTTATTCCATTCTGGATGAGCGACAATTTGCTTAAATATAGGTAAAAGTCCATCGAGAACAGTTTTACCAATTGATCTTTCCAATGTGGAAAAAAACATGGTAACCATTTTCAATTGATTTGACACTGAAACTCGCGATGATGACACTTGATTTTGCAATAAGGTACGTAATCTCGTGACACATAGGCCTAAAGTGGCGTCTAGGTAGAAAATTTGTTGCTCTAATGTTGGTAATGTGTTGAGTAATTTTCCTGCCGCGTACATGAGACGTAGACCCTCGACACCCTGGGGTGAGATTGTAGGCAGGGAATGACCAATTGTGTCTAAAATCGACGGTGCTAGGGGTGCAAGTTGTATGCTACATTCTCTGGATATGTCTTTGAGGGCCATACTCGCTGATAGAATTGTCACTGAACTTTGCGACAAACCAAGTGAGATTAATTTCAAAGATCTCTCTAACCATGGCGTGGGATGTTCACCAAACCACTCGGCGTACGCTCCAATTGTCGTGCAAGCACAAGCCAATACCTGGAAAATAAAAATAAAATATTTTACTAATCTGAAAACTGATTTAAAATTAAAACATTTTTTTAAAAAAAATTCTGAGAATTTTGAAAAGTGTATTTGTTTACAATTCAATTTTACAAAATTTCAAATATTCGTAAATTCTTCAACTAAATATATATTATAGAAAATAAAAAAAAGTTCGATACCTCTCCAGGATACTTCTCGTAGGGAATATAGGAGAAAATAATATTCATAAGAGCAGGAACGTATTGAGCCTCTTGTGTACCAACGCAATCAGAAAGAGCGTTAAAAGCGTGTAAACTCGATTCCACGTGGGTCCAATTTTCCACCTCCTCGAAGGGCTGACTCAATCTCTGTCCAAGGAGCAATAGTAAATCCTCCTTGAGAACATTGTAGCAATAGACGAGTGTATCGGCCGCGTCTTGTCGATAACACCTCAAAAGTTCCCGATCATCCGAATCGCCAGCCTCTCGTGACGTTAACGGTAATGTGGCTTTTCGTAAAAGTGCTTGCGCCAATCTGGCGTAAATAGGCCTGAGGGCTAAAGCAGCCTGTGCATCAACAGGTTGATCCAATGTTCCCAAATCATCCTGAAATGTATACCAAAAACCAAATGGTATACAACTACGCTTCTCATCACAAGGATAACGTCCCGGTTGCTCCGAACATTCCAATAGAATTTCAACCACTTGCTGCGCTGTCCATTTTTGCACCTCATTCGTATCATTCGCCAATGCCAATAGCAACGTTCGACTATTTGCCTCACCCAATGTTGACAATGTCTCGTAATAATAATTTGCGCCATGCTCACGTGCCGTATGTACAATACTTCTCGACCATTCCCAAAATAATTGCGGTCGTTTATGCAGTTCCGTGTGTGTCAATATCATCGATAGACATTCTTGAATTATTTCCCAGCCCCTTATGTGCTCCTCATCTAAATCATCCCTAAAAATTTAAATTACTTTTTAATCACAAAACTAGCTCAACAATATTTTTCTAACTTTTTTGAATAAAATTTTAAATAAAATTACCAATTTAAAAATAAATATTCTTAAAAATAGTGGAATTTTTTAAAATAATTTTTACTGAAAATTTTGAAATAATATAATTATAGAAAATTTGTAATTCTTACCGATTTGGAAGATATCGTGCAGCAGCTGTTAATAAATGAGGATAAATTTGTGCTGTTGTTTCGAGTGGCAATTGTCCGAGTTTAAGCCACGAGAGTAAACATTCTAAACTCAAAAAATAAAGCTTATTGTTATTACTAGAGGCAGTCTGATCAAGTGTTGTGAAGACTTGTTGCAAAATCCATGTCGTCTTACTCCAATTACTGACTATTGCATCTCGCTTCGGTCCTTTCAATTCATTTCGTCTTTCAAACTAAATACAGAAAATAATTAATCAAGTTCACAATAATTAGCTACAAAAAATTACAGACCTCGGATTTTTTTCGTTTTACACTTTAAATATCGTAATAAATTGAATTTTATATAAAAAAGTGTTATTTTGTTGCAATATTTGAAAGAAAAGTCAATTTTTTTTTAAAATAGTCGGAAAAAATCTATAAAATTATATTATCCGAGGCCTGACATAAATATATCAATTTTTATGAATAATTTACTTAATAATGGAATATTACCTCCTTAGGTAAATAACTTAATACTCTAAGATGAAATTCTATTGTCTCTGAAGAATCCGGAGGTAAAATTTCTATCAAACTTCCCACTAAGCCCTTTTCTCGTTCCTCTTCTTTCGTTTTGTTGAGATTTATTAGAAAAGCTGCCAACTATAAATGAAGAATAAATTAAAAACCAATTTCTTAAATAATACTTTCAAGAATTGTATTGAAAGAAATGAATATACCGCTTGACAAAGTTTCGATATAACTAAATTCGATGCATTCAATTGTTTCATGACGGTGAGCAGTCTATGTTGCAGGGCTAAATATTCTTCACTTGGTACTTCAGTCCATTGTCTCGAAATTTTCGAATGTAATGTATTGGCCGCAAAGAATTGCACTTCTTTCGACTGGAATATAGACAAAAAAAAATTAATACAATTGTCACAGAAAATAACTAATTTATTGGCAAAATTAAAAATAAATTCACCTTCGTTGGTACCAACAATTCCCAGACAAAAGACCATGCTTCTGGTGAATCTTGTACTTGTAACAGCCAAATGTGTGCTTCATTTTCTCCAGCTGAGAAGAAGCGATTAACTGCACTTTCAACGATTGTGGCATTATCCATTCCTCAATAATTCTTTAAAATTATTCCCTTCTTACTTCTTATCATTAACCATTTACAATTACTGAAATTTGTCAAAAAATTAATCATGTCATTTGAAATTGTTATAGACATAAATTATTATCTCTAATTATTATCAATAGTTTAAGATTGTTAAAGAATAAAGAATATATTTATTGAAGAGTCATTACCTTCTTTTGAAATAAATTAATAGATTTACTTTATTATTTAATTAACAATTATAAGACTTAAAATAGTGACTTGAAAACTTAAACAGAAACGTTGACTAATGTTTTTTTTAAAGCTTCTTTTTGGAGTTACTTGTTGACAGCTCGGAGATTATTGCTTCTTGGTCTCTAATAATATTAACAATAATAAAAATATTTTGTTACTAATTATTCAGACTATAATTGACGGATAGTGAAAAGTTTTTTGAGCATCAGTCATAACATAACGCACTTTTTATTATTGAACGAAAAAACTGACTAACGAATTTTGAGGTTAGATTAGAATTTATTAGTAATTAAGATTCCTACTTTATCGACTCGTGGCCATTGTTTTGATTGTTGACGTTTGTTTACATCGTTTACATTTAATCGGAATTTAATTTGCTCAGAAAACAAATATAATACATCTATTATTCTATTTTAGTGAAAATAACTGTAATTGGATTTAAATACAGATTTTATATTAGTTTATATTTGTAAATAAAACAATGACAAATTATATATAGTGTAAAATATTTTGTCACTGTATTTAGAGGTTAACTTAGCATGCTTTGAGAAATATAATTTTTTTGTATTTATTGTTTATTCAGGTCAGTAAATCTTGCTATTGAATATTTCTAAGACATTCTACAATTTTATGGATATGAAACGTGGTTATACATTTCCAATAACTGCAATGGATATATCAGACGAAGTTCCCAACAAAGGTAAATAAATAGTTTTTTTTAGAAAAGACACGATCTTTGTAATTAATTATTTATTCCTCTTTTACAGTTGCTTTGGTGGAAAGAATTGATTGTCCCTTGGGTGTAAAATTAGTTAATCCTCGTTATACGAATAAAAAAGCGCCAAACGACTTAATAGAATTAGCAACAGAAATTCAAAAGGTAAAATTGTTGTTGAGTTTAATAAAAATCCAAATATGAAAATAATTATTTGGAAAATTACCTTAATTGTGAATATTACAAAATTTTTCCAGGCCAGTGAGTTTGTTAATGCCAATACTTGCAATAAATTACAAATAATAGCGGAGCAAATGAGATTTTTATATAAACAAGCGGAGAAAGTGTTATCAGAGACAAAAGAAAATATGAACTTGCATTATGCCGCTTGTAATTTTGTGAAACAACGTGGTAGCATATATCATTTATATCAGAGAGAATCTGGCCAATGTTATTTATCTATGCTCAGTCCAGAGGTATTTATTCACATATATATTATTTCTATTATTAGACCAATGTCGCAATACGACAATTTCTAATTTTATAATTATATTTTACTATATCAAAAAGTATATCATGAAAAATACTCAGAAAAGAAAGATTTTAATTGGTTGAAGTACAGTTTTCTAAAACGTATTTTCTAAAACTTTTTTTTCTAATAAAGGTGAATTTCTAAAAAACTTTTTTCTAATGAAAGTGATTTTCAAAATTCTCTTTTTTCTAATAAAGGTAATTTTCAAAAAAATGTTTTTTTGAACAATATTCAATTTTTGTAATGACGAGGCCTGTAATTGTTAAAGAAAAACAAATTCTAGATATTATCAAATAATAGAGGAAAATAGATTTTTTGTTTATATCTATAAATTCTGTTTATATCTAAATAAATAATAATAATAAGGGAAATAATTTACATATAGAAAACAGTATAATTTCTAGATAATTTATTTGGCGAAAAATAATATTATCTTACAGGATTGGGGTAATTCTGGACCTCAACAATCATATAAAGGCTCCTTCAGACTAGAACAAGATAATTCTTGGACTCCATTAGCGCAAATACAATCTAAAGATAATGAAACTCATGTTATTAATCAAATTTTACAAAGTAACGAAAGTTCTCGACTTGCATCATTGCAAAATTATATGAGTATAGATTATTGATTTTTAACTTTCATCGAAACTTCCTCGATTGTACATATTATTTTTATTCATTTTCTCCTAAGAAAATATCGAAAAAGAAATTTTACTAAATTACCTAATTTATAAACTTTAAATCAGATGATAAATTTTAATTGAATTACTTTTCATCGACGGAATTAAACACTTTGTTTTAATATTTTGAACATTATAATCTTTTCTATTAACATTTTTCCCTACTCGTTTTTATTTTAATTATTTTGATAATTTTCCTGTCCATTTTTTAACAAGGTGAATTTTTTAAAACGTGCTGTGTTGATTTTTTTTGTTTTGAAAGATACCAAATTTCTTTCGAGGTCTAATTTTCTTTTTGCAATATTTACTACTTACGATCGATTGGTTGGAAGACTTTCGATCTCCAACATTTACTTTACTACCACATTTCCGTGCAGGTGAAACTAATAAAACATTATCGCAATACACTTATTTATCAACTAGTAAAATTATCACTTCATGACAAGCAATTTTCAAATATGTTTAGGTTTTTAAAAAAATCGTTTGTTTTCGTTCAAAGGAGATAAGAATTCACGTCTTGAATATATCGAGTAAAGTAGAAAAAACAATGTAAATTAAGGGAGCAGTGGACTCACATAATATTCTCATTTTTCTTTTTTTTTGAGAGGGTACGTCAACGAGACATCCGATGAATTAATTAATTGAAACAAAAGCCTCGTTTTTTAAGTTTACGTAGTGTTTGCTTGCGTCATGTAGTATTTACTCGATGTGCTGAAAAATAAGATGTATTAGTGATTGAATGAAAAAATTTACAAACATTCATTAGTCATAATAATTTATTTACATTGTTTTGGTATCCTTAAAGAGTCCTTGTCTTTTATAATACATTCGTGACTTTGTGCGTGAAAAAGATATTGCACAAGTAATTGTTTATCTTCTCCCACACATGGATCATAAAATCCTGGCAGTTGGCTCTGTGAAATGAAAATTTTTACTAATTTACTTTTTTATCATTGCAGTCATATTAATATTTTTCGGAAAATTTCTTTTTGAGAAATTTGAATAATTCAATGAAAATAATTACCTTCGTGACCTGATGAAGAACTAATCTTGAATCGCTAACTAAACATTGTAATGGAATAGTAACGTCGATAACTTCATCTCTTTGTCCACTAGCCGCATCCTCCTCTAAATTTCTATCCTGAGGATAAACGAACCTTCCGTATAGTGCTTTTGTTATTATTAATCCCCGTTTATTTTCCTCCTCAGCGCGAATTCTACTGAATGTCGCTTTCATTAATTCGACCGCGGATTTTGCTTCCTTTTGCTTTTCTAACATTACTGATTTATTTAATTCGCGCTGTTTTTCTTTATTCCTTTCCTTTTGTTCCTTTAATATAGGATCAATGATAAATTTCTTGACAATTGTCCATGTAATGAGGGGAGCGACAGTCGCGTAAAAAACAGGCGCTGGAAATACTTCGTCGCACAAATGAATTGGAAACGAATAACTCTGTGAACCACGACTTAGACGAATTCGAAGTGATACACCAGTTGGCACACCGACTCGTACCGCAGTCGAGAGAGTGGTGTAACTTGAAACTTTTTTCTCTGCGCCGTATTCAACGAAACCGCCAAATGTTCCAACTCTAAAAAATATATTTACAATTTTATCATAATATTGTCATAGGTTTCGCATTCTTCAATTAATTAAAAAGAAGTAGTAATCGTTGTCAATTCAAAGTGCAAAAAAAGTAACTTATTTCATTCAGGGTTATCAGAAAATTTGATTATATATTTCCCTCACTTCCAGGAAAAATATTAACTTCTTATCCTACTGATAACTTTAATTCCAAATTTTTATAAAATTTAATTATTTTCCTTACAGTTAGAATTCTTCTAAAATACGATTATATTTAATTTTTATTAAGTGAAAAAATTAAATTCTTTAAAATATAAAATTTATTTCATTGAAACTTGACAAAATTTCGAGGATAACTATATCTTCAAAACATTATAATTAAAATTTTTCAAAAACCTCCTTTTTCAGAATTTATAAATTAAATTATTCAAAACTTCAAAAAAAAATTCAAATAAATATTTATTTATTTTTCCACAGGAATTACAATTTTTAAATAATAAATATTCTTGTTCTTGAAAATAATTAAATTCTTTCGTGTAATTTTATTTAAATTGCATTAAAAATAATTTAATTTCTGCAAAGAATTTTAGTATTTACAGAAATAATTGAGGGACTGGATGCTATAAGGTGTTACGCGCCATTCACTTAACATGGCGCGTAACACCTTATAGCATCCAGCCCCTCAATTGAATTTTTTCGAAGAATTTATTACAATTTTAAGAAATAATTTAATTTTATGTAAATATTTGAAAATATTTGAATTCTTCAGGCAAATTGTTTTGAAAACAATTGAATTCCTGCAAAGAAGTTTAATATTTATAAAAAATAATTGAAATCTTGCGAAGATTTTATTATTTAAAAACATAATTGAATTGTTTAGGATTTATTAAAATTTTAGAAAATAATTGAATTATTTTGTAAAATTTTATTAAAATTTTGATAAAAATAATTGAATGTTTGCAAAAAATTTTACTATTTATAAAAACAATGGAATTGTTTCAATGGATGCTTTAAGATTTTATAGAAAATAATTGAATTGTTTCGAATGATTTATTAAAATTTTAGAAATTGAATTTTTTTGAAAAATTTTATAACGAAGTAACGAAAAAAATTAATTTCTTTTGCGAAATTTTATTGAAAATTGAATATTTGCAAAGATTAAAATATTTAAAAACGTAAGTGAATTGTTTCGAAGAATTTATTCAAGTTTTAGAAAATAATTGAATTCTTTTGTGAAATTTTATGAAAATTTTGTTAAAAATAATTAAAATTTTGCTAAAAATAAATGAATTTTTGCAAAAAAATGTACTATTTGTAAAAATAATTCATTTCTTACGAAGAATTATATTACAAAGTTAAATTTCACAACAAAACTGTTATATATTAATTATTAATGAAACAATATTGGTGATTCCTGAATTTATAATTATTTTGCCGAAAGTAAATATTGATTTTTTTATTTCAACTACTTGGCGGGTTTAAAGAAGTACAAATTCTCTCTCAAAAAAACAGAAAAAAGTAGTTTTTTGTAGCACAAATCTTAAAAAATGGAAATAGTAGCAAATTGGAAAAAAGATAATAATTAGCTAGTTTTTCTGTGAAAAAAGCACTGTGAAAAAAATAGAAAATTTAGTGTAGAAAAAGAGAAAAATTTACCTTCCAGTACTTTTCAATCGAAGTTGTCGTTCTGGCATTTTATGTATGTAACTTAGATTTAAATATGAATTTGTGAGTCCAAAATGAATCGTAAAGGCAGTGTATGAATTTGGCGTGTTTCTCTCGATTATTGTCGACATACCACTTTCAGCGTGCACTTTATAAGTTAGATATCCAATTGTATATTTATCCAATTGCATTGCAAGCGCTAAAAAAGAATTTTAAACACCTTCTTTTATATTCACTATGGGGCCTTTTCAATAGTTTAAGAAAATAAAAAAATTTTCACTTACATCCGGACAGACCGAATTTTGCCAGATCCGATGTAAAACCAGTTAAAATTTCTCCAGTACAAAATATTCTCTTGCTGAGTGTTTGAAAACCTTTAAGAGCAACGTTAAGTCCATTACCAGCTCCAACATCAACTTCCACCCATCCTTTCTGTGAAATTAATCGTTTTGCTGCCACATTCACCGTTCCTGAACCATTTCCATTATGTGCACTAAGTTGACCATACATTATTAAAGTATCCTTTGTCGTAAGTGGTGCTTCAATGGACTGTGTGAATGACATTCCACTAACGTGAATTGACGAAAATAAATCCCCACTGTAAGTAATTTTATTTAATTACTTGATTTTAATTTAACAAACCAGTGGAAAAAAATGTAATTAAAAAAAAAAGATCAAACCTGCTGTAACTATCATCGTAAGAACTAAAAATATCGCTGGCATTAATGTTGACAGTAACACTGCCCCTTGGTCTTGTTCGCTCCTGTAGACGACTTTCCTCCTCCAATCTTGCAAGACGTTCATATTCTTCGCGAATTTCCTGAGGTGTTTTTGTACGTTGAACTATTTCCCATCCCTGGGTTTCCAATCCCTTTGTACCCAATGAGTCGTAAATTGCCCTTTTGTGAGGATCACTCAAAACTGTTGGAAAATTTTGTTTTTAATTAAACGAAAAATATTCAAAACTAAACTGTATTCATAATCTTTGCAAAAATTCAATTATTTTCAATAAAATTTCACGAAAGAATTCAAATTATTTCTTAGTTCGTTATAAAAAATTTCGAAAGAATTCAATTTCTAAAATTCTATAAATTCTTCGAAACAATTGAATTATTTTCTAAAATTTTAATAAATCCTTCGAAACAATTCAATTATGTTTCTAAATAGTAAAATCTTTGCAAAAATTCAATTATTTTCAATAAAATTTCGCAAAAGAATTGAATTTTTTTCTTAATTCGTTATAAAATTTTTCAAAAGAATTTTCAAAAATTTTAATAAAATTCAATAATGAAATGTTCAATTTTAATTATTGACAAACACGATTATTTTAAAAACTTGAAAGAAAGTGCTCAAAAAATTCAATTATTTTTAAGATTTTTTAAAAAACTCCATTAATTTAAAAAAAAATTCTTCAAAAAGAGTTTAATTAGAATTATAAAAAATTTTAACATATTTCTTGTCGAGAATTCAATTATTTTTCTAAATAATAAAATTCTTCGAAGGAATTCTATTATTATCAAAATTTTCGATAAATTATTTTTGCAACAATTCGATGATTTTCAATAAATAAATTTTAAAGATGGAAATTATTTAAAAAGAAAAATGTAGATTAAAAGTTACAGACAACAAATAAAAAATAAAAAATGAACTCTCACCTTCATAAGCCTTTCTAGTGTGATTAAATAAAATTTCAGCCTCTTTCTTATTATCAGAATTCGGATGTTTATCAGGATGATACAATTTACTGAGTCTACGATAAGCACTAACGATGTCCTCCTGACTAGCCTATTAAAAAGAGAAAATAATTAATTTGATTATAATTCCGAAACCATGTAAAAATAATTATAAAATTGTTAAAAAAATATATAGAATATTGTAAATAAACCCGAATAGTGAAAAAAATCAATAAATCTAATTCGTAGTTCAAGTGACAGGAGTTCAGTTATTTCATAATAATGAATAATAGAAAACTTGTTAAAGAATAAATAAATCAAACATGATAAAAAAGTGGATTTTTTTCATTCATATCCACCGGTTAGAGTATATATTATAATTTAAGAGAGGTTACGTGATAATAGAATATAATGCGTGACAAAAATATAGAATGTCACGTGGAGGAGTCGAAAATATTTTTCTCAAGGGAAAAAAGCAAAAATAATTTCTCACATTTCTTGGGATATTCAAGAATGAATAGTAATCATCCTCGATCACGTTGTCTTGTTCACTTTCGTCTTCCATTATAATTTGAAATAAATTTTCGCAAAAAGAACACACTATTTAATCAGCTTGTTTTTTTTATATTTTTTTCGTTAAGATGTCCTATTGTGGAATGTATGATAAACACTATTTATTAGAATTGTTGATTACGAATTAAATAAGAGCAGTGCTTTGATCACTAGACACCTAGTTGATCTCGTCGTGTTCCTGGCCTGCAAAATCCAGCTGCAGGAGCACAGGTTACGAGAATTTTTCTATTTCACTCGGCGCGGTTACTATTACCAACAATTTTGCCAACAACAACGGTAATCAATTCTCTCCGACAGATGTCGACTCTGTTGCTTTCTAATCTAACCTAACCTGTGAGAACGAAAAGGCGGGATTATAGTCGAAAGGACGCTGGCGAACTTTTGCTGTGTTTTTAATATTTAATTTGCATATTTTTGATAATCATTGGGTAAGTTTTAGTTTAATAGTTGTTAGTCTTCAATTTTTAGCATTTAAACAGTCTTTTTGTTAATTTGTTATTTTTATTTGACGATAAAAGTAGATACACAAGAAATGACGCGTGCAAAATATTTTCTGATGAACATAACCTCTAAAAGATATTTTGTCTTTTTGTGATTGCTCTATAGGTATATATAGTTATTAATGATTAAAATTCACTACTTTCTTTTTATTTCGCTCAAGTTTTATAAAAAGGAACATAAATTTGTTTATTGTTTTTATATTTTTGCTCGGGTCGTTCGGGAATTCCCCGGGAAGTGGGTATAACTCCTTGAGTATGCAATGTACGCGATGCTATTACTCAGCTGCAAGGCGGGTTGCATGACATAAAATATTTCTGATTGTTTCGCTTTATTATGCAGAGAACAAATTTCAATATTCACATTGTGTTCATACGGTTTTTATTAAAATTTTCTCCATTTCATTGAAATTAAATCGAAATCATTTATTTGTAAGTGTAGAATAAAAAATTACAGTTAATTAATAATTGTTTTTCGTGTTGGAGTTATATTTACGGTCAACATAACCTCAACTTTCGGTGTAAGAGCTTAAATCACTTGTAATTTAATATAGACTTTACAGAAATGTTTTTTGTACAATTTATGGATCAAATATGTTAATTAACACAAAATTTGTATTTATTTTCCAGAAGATGAGCAACTCTAGACGATGAGCTACACCGGATAAAGGAAAATTGATTTGAGTCGTTTTACATATTTACACATGCTTCAAGGTAACATCATTACAATTCAAGGTAACATTTGTTTAAATCATCACTGTAAATTTTTAAAATATGTCCATTTTTTACTGTCTAAAATTTTATTAACAAAATTAATTTTTTTTGCGGACACAATTCCAATATATTTTCGAAGAAAATTCGTATTTTCAAAATAAGTACAGAACTTTTTTACCGTTTTTGTCTACATTTTTATCGTTAAGACAAAAACGTATTCCGGTTTATGAAAACGTATTTTTTTCGGGGTTTTTTTAAACATGTTATTTTAATATACTCTGGGAGTATTAATTTTCCGATCCACGTGTGAGATTAACACATAATTGTGTAAATCTGTCTTCAAAATGAAGTAGAAGAACATTCTCTTAGGTTTGTTTAACTTTTTCTACACTTTTAATTTAAATCTTTTAACAATTAAATATTTTTGTTGAATAGACGCATTTTTGACAGGTAACAAGGCGAATCGGGTTTTTCGGACGCAATTGGAGGAATATAAACCTTTTTCGACGAAATTGATGAAATACAGAATCTCTTGGATGTTCTGAAGAAAGAAAGGATGAATATAATGGATTTCGAGATATTTAAAAGTCTGAAGAATGTTTTTTAATTGCAATTTGGAGAGAAAAAAAGGAAAAATGATCAGATACTATTGAGACATTTATGAACTTTGGAAATCGTTTGAAAGTTTTTGGCAAGTGGAAAACTAATAAAGACACATTAGTTTGTTAAATTGAAGAAAAGAACAATTTTGATTATTTGAAGACCATCGTAAGACATAAGCAAGAGATATTTCAATCATTTTAATTCTATAAAATGAAATCAAGAGGATATCGAAAAAAATTGGTATTACTTAGAAAAGGTAAATTATTAATTAAATTATTCTTAATAAGACAGGGTTGTTACAGTGTACAACTGAAAAAATTCAATTATGTTCTAAAGTTTAAAAAAATTCTCGTCAAAATTTCAATTATCTTTATAAATAATAAAATTCTTCGAAATTCAATTATTTTCAAAACATTTAATAAATTTCTTGGCAAAATTTCAATTATTTTCATAAAATTTTCATCAATTTAATAATTTTCAATATCTACTATTTAAATAAAATTTTTCAAAAGAATTCAATTATTATTTGAAACAAATTTTGATAAAATTCTATTACAACATTTAATTATTTCCATAAATAATAAAAATATCACACAGGAATTCCATTTTTACAAATTTGTTAAAAATTTTCAAAATTTCTTCGAAATAATTTCATTATTTTCATGATCAATTCAATAACTTTCATAAATAATAAAACTCGTCACAGAATTTTAATTATTTTTACTCCAATTTAATCGAATCTCTCGAAAAATGTAATTATTCTTAAAAATTTTATTATAATTCGTTGAAGGAAAATTCCTTGATTTAAAAAATCAAATTAAATTAATCTTTAAATCTTAAATTTTAATCTTTAAATTGATTTAAAAATTTATTTATAAAATTCTACGAAAACATTTAATTATTTTCATAAATAATTAAATTTTTTACAGGGATTCAATTATTTTATAAATAATTGCATTTTTTACAGTGACTCCATTATTTTCATAAACAATAAAATTCTTTTTTGGAATTTAATTATCATAAATAATAAAACTCATGGCAGACTTTCAATTAATTGTAATACAATTTTAATAAAATTCCTCGAAAAATGTAATTATTCTTAAAAATTTTATTAACATTCAGCAAAGAAATTCAATTATTTTAAATAATTTTAATTAAATTCTTTGTAACAATTCAATGTTTTCAAAATAATTTTAATAAAATTGTTGATAAAAATTTAATTAATATCTCAAATTTGTCAAAATTTAATTATTTTCAAATTTTTAATGTCTACTATTTCAATAAAATACTATTTTAATTTCATAAAAGAATTCAATTATTTAAAAAGAAATTTTAATAAAATTCGTCTCAAGAATTCAATTATTTTCAAAAGTAATGTAATTACGAAAACATTTAATTATTTTCATAAATAAAAATAATATCACAGGAATTCAATTATTTAGAAATTTGTTATAAATTTCTTCGTAATAATTCCATTATTTCCATAAACCAGAATTAATTTTTTTGAAAATTAGTTTTACTGAATTTTTTTAAAAAATGATTTCATGTTTTTATTTTTTTAATATATAATTAATAGAAGAATTTACGAATAAACGAATGTTTGTGTAAAATTAAATTTCAATTGGATTTGAAAATTATTAAAAAAAAAACTTTTTCAAAAATTATTAAAAATAATTGATTTAAAGAAGAATTTTAGTTAAAAATTTAAAAAAAATAATATTTGAATTGAATGTTTAGCAAAATTAGAAATATTAAAAAAAGTTAGATAAATACAAAATCAAATTATTGTTGCAACCCTGTCAGAATATTTCTTTTAAATATGTTTAATTGTAAAAAAATTGCAAATTATTATTTCAAGTTGGCGAGGAGTTAGAAAGAGTAAGTAACTTCGTATTTTAAAAATATTGTAGATATCGTATTTATCGACAATAGTTCTACTGATGTACTCTGCCCTCTAGGAAAGTTGATAATACATAAATTTAACATTTTCTTCAAAATAACGATTTTTCGCAGAATTTTGAAAATCGATTTATTTATTTTTTATAATAAATATGTTATTTTGAAAGAATTTATTAAGTTCTCTAATCTTTATAGTCTAAAATTAAAAAAATTTTAATTATCTTAAATTATAATTGGATTTTTTTTTAATTTTCCTCTTCAAAATGCAAAATTTCTTTCAACATTTTTCTAAATTATTAATATTTATAATTTTTTTTCTCTTTGTAACTTGTAACTTTTTACAAGCAACTTTTGTTGTTAAATAATTTTAACAATTAAATTATTTGAATTAATATGAAAATTTTTAATTAATTCTCTTCATCTTCTACATGACATTTTAATTCAACAGGTCAAAGCAGAAGTCACTCGAGAAGATATCGAGGGGGAAAAAGAGAGACGTTTGCCGAGAGAACTGTATCTATATCTGTAGCTGGACCTGGAGAAAGAGAGAGAGAGAGAAGGGACCAGCATGAGAGAGATCCGTCGTTGTAATGGTGAGTGTTAAAGAAGGAGTAGGAAGGCTAGAGGATAGTGGTAACCGCGGGTACCAGCAGGATTTACCTGGTAGTGTTGTAGTAGTCAGTCTTGTATATTCAGTAAGACAGTTGGTGTGTAAGAATTCGTCGCGGTTTCGCGACGTTTCTCTCCAATATGTGCGTGTGTGTTTCTCAATGATTTTCAAATTTATTTCTACTTTTGGATTTGTTTTTGAAAATATTCTCTCTATCAGTTGACTAGTTCAATTAATTGGTTGTTTTTTCAATTTCCTCCAATAGTTGCAAAAAAGTGATTTAGTGAGTTATTTTTCGTTTGCAAAAAAAATATATATCCAAAAATAGTGTTTTAAAAAACTGTGAAAGAATTTTTTTTCTATAATTTTGGTGACACGAAAGGAATAGATTGAAAATAGAATAATAGTTAGTGTCTTGTAACTTTTTACGGATAAGAACTTTATTCCTGACGGATGGTCAAAGTGAGTGATACACAATTTTAATTTGTTTTCAAAAGTAATAATTAAATAGCAAAATTAAAAACTCCAACAACAAAAAAATACTGAACAAATGAAATTTTAAAAACAAATTTTAATTTGAAATTCAACATTTTTGCAAATTTTATTTAATATTTTGTCTTGATTTCCTTTTTTAATTAACTTTCACTTTTCGGATAAATATTTTATTTTTTTATTCAATGTCATATATGATAATGATGACTAGGATTCTAAAATACTGTTGATAATATTTTCATGCACACGCCATATAGTGACATCTCTTTTTAAATAATGCTGACTTTTAATATGCACACACTTGAATACGTGTCAAGGATTTAATTTTTTTTCTATGTTAAAAGCTTTTCTCTTTTTATAAACTTTTCTATTAATTTTTCCAAAAAAAAAATATTTTCATTATTATTTTACGAATTTTGCAACTTACAAAGTAAATTTCTGTTTTTTAATTCAGAAAAATTAGTTCATAAATTTCTATTTCACATTTGTTATTAATAATTGGTTATAACTGCGTGGCAGTTAACTATCTTTTTATAAAACAATTAAACATTTGTTTCGGCTTTCTAACTTTTACACTCTAAATGATATATGGTCATGAATTTGATTATTAAATGTAAAAGAATCCGATAATTTTCACCTTATCGAGAATGGAAAGTGATCATGAATATAAGTATTAAGAAAAAATAACTTTTTATACATCTAATTAGCAAAGTATATTTATTAGTCATGTTAGAAAAGTGAAAATCAGGACAGTTGTGAAAGAATTCATTTTCAAATGAAAAATTTTTTCATAACAAGAATTTTTTTTAAATTTTACTCATGAAGTAAAAAAATATTTTTTTTGATTAGGTAAGTTTTCGTTTATTAATCGTTAAATTATAATTTTTTAAAAAAACGATCTAGTTTCTAATTGGAAAATTAATTATGGAACAACTTCTAGTTTAGGAAAGTTAAATATTTATTAAATTAGAGTTATTTGGAATAATTTATATGGTAGTTGATTAATATTATATGTTAAAATTGTAGAAATTGATTAATTGATAAATTTCTAATATTAGAAATTGAATGATTGTTGGGTTTTTGAAATTTGGGTCAAAAATTTGTCGTCATTTGATTGTTTGGAGTTTATTTATTGATGATTGAGAAGTATTTTTAAATGTATATATAGATGATTAGTATTATTGACGCAACAGTAAATCATTGTGCTGGTAGCAATTTTGATAGGCGGGTTTAACTATATAGAGACAATATGATGTATGGCCATGGACGGTATTTTTACTTTCGATAGGTTCGCCCACGTCTGGACATTGTTGTGAATGCATATTTTCTTGCGAAAGTAAATTCATCATCATTCCTTTTTTTTTGCAAAGACAACGATGACTAAGAAAGTAAAATATATGCAATTTTCTCGATTTTTCATTATAAACGTCGTCTAAAGATAGGCAATTAATCGTTTTTCTTGCGGCATTGACTTTGCATCTCCTGCAACTTCCCTTGATGCACACGTTAATATATAGCTATTAAAGTATTGGTAAATAATTTTACATTTCCTGAAAATTTTATTTACTCTTTTTATTCTATTAACACATGGTTGCCACAGAGTCTAAAAATCCCGAAAAACCTGGAAAAGGTACATGGAATTTAAAAAAGGGTATGAAAAACCTGGAAATAGAATGGAATTTAAAACAATTTCTTGAATTTCGCCTGTTCTTAAAGATTTTTAACAAAATTTTAATTTAAAATTGAATAATTTTTGTGTTATCGCCATATAAAAATCTCAACGGAAGAAAAAATGTTTGGCTCGTAATTATTATTAAGTTTCTGGTATTTGGAAATTTAAAAAAACTTATAAGAGCCAAAGCTATGTTATTAGGGCAGAAATTTTTTTAATTTTTGACTAGAATTTCATAAGTACTGACCTGGAAAAAGCCTGAAATTTTATATTTATTATTTTGTGACAACCATGATTATTTACAAATTATTTTCATAAATTATTATTCAATGATTTTCATAAATAATAACATTTTTTACAGCGATTCAATTATTTTCATAAATACATAATAAAACTCATTACAGACTTTCAATTATTTTTAATTTTTAATACAATTTTAATGGAATTCCTCGAAAAATGTAATTATCCTTAAAAATTTTATTAACATTCAGAAAAAAAATTCAATTATTTTAAAAACTTTGAGTACAATTTAAGTATTATTTTCAATACATTTTTAATTAAATTTCTTCAAAAAATTGAACTATTTTCATAAATAATGAAATTCTTTATAACAATAAAATTTTTTTCAATTTAATTTTCATAAAATTCTTCGTAGAAATTTAATAAATTTCAAAAATTTGTCAAAATTCAATTATTTTCAATGAATACTATTTCAATAAAATTTCACAAAAGAATTCAATTATTTAAAAAAAAATTTTAATAAAATTCGTCTCTAGAATTCAATTATTTTCAAAAGTAATGTAATTCTTCCCAAAAATTCAATTATGTTGAAAAGTAAAAAAATTCTCGTCAAAATTTCAATTATCTTTATAAATAATAAAATTCTTCTTTTAAATTCAATTATTTTAAGAAAATTTAATAAATTTCTTGCCAAAATTTCAATTATTTTATAAAATTTTCCTCAATTCAATGATTTTCAAAACCTACTATTTTAATTAAATTTTCCAAAAGAATGCAATGATCTAAAACAAATTTTGATAAAATTCTAGGAAAGCATTTAATTATTATCATAAATAATAAAAATTGCACAGGAATTTAATTATTTACAAATTTGTTATAAATTTCTTCGTAATAATTCCATTATTTTCATAAACTATTTACAATTTTTTACAGAGATTTAATTATTTTCGTAAATAATAAAATTATTTTTAGGAATTCAATTATTTTCATAAATAATAAAACACTTCGCAGAATTTTAATTATTTTTATTCAATTTTAATCGAATTCCTCGAAAAATGTAATTATTCTTAAAATTTTTATTAAAATTCAGCAAAGAAATTCAATTACTTTAAAAACTTCTGCTACAATTTATTTATTACAATTTCAATATTATTTTCAATACATTTTTAATTAGATTTCTTCAACAAATTGAATTATTTTCATAAATAATTAAATTCTTTGTAACAATAAAATTTCTTTCAAAAATCATTTTCATAAAATTCTTCGTTGAAATTTAATTAGTATCAAAAATTTGTCAAACTTAAATTATTTTCAATGTCTACTATTTCAATAAAATTTCACAAAAGAATTCAATTATTTAAAAAGAAATTTTAATAAAATTCATCTCAAGGATTCAATTATTTTCTAAAGTAATGTAATTCTTTGCAAAAATTCAATTATGTTCAAAAGTTTAAAATAAATTTTGTCAAAATTTACATTATCTTTATAAAAAAAATTCCTCTCCGAAATTCAATTATTTTCAAAGATTATAATAAAATTCTTGGCAAAATTTCAATTATTTACAATTTTTATCAATCTTCTCGAAAAATTAAATTATTCTTTAAAATTTTATTAAAATTTGTCAAGAGAATTAAATTATTTAAAAATTTTGTTTATAAAATTCTTTATAAAAATTCAATTTTTAGAAACATTTAATTATTTAATAAAATATTAAAAACCTGGAAAAATTTCGTTTTTTAACCTGGAAAACCTGGAAATGTCAGGGAATTTAAAAAGAGCAAAAGCGTGGTAACCATGTAACAAGTCTGTGTTTTTAAAGGGCATTGTAAAAATAATTACTTATATTTATATACAACATAGGAATTGGTCAACATTTGAAAAAAATTTTATTAGCGAGATAGATTCAAAGAACAGGGAAGTTGAATAAATCAGTGTAAAACCGGTTTCATTCCGGTGTCGACGGCATATATGCAGATATATAGATCTGATAAATGAAAACGTAATAATTACTATAACGGAAGTTCGTTCGTGAGCAGAAAAAAAAACAAAAGTCTAATTTCTTGCCGTTAAGGAAATGAATTTTTAAAAAAATGACTTATATTCTCTACACTGTTTTAAATTGTCCCAGTGAGAGGTAGTATTTTTATTTTGGGAAAATACAGAAAATGAAAGTATTTAATTTATGCACTTCTTTTTTCCTTGGGAAATATTTGTTTAGTTTACACTTGTCGTTCGTTTGGTATTCGAAACATTCGATGACCTCAAAGCATATGTAGAAAATTCTAAACTAGCCTATGGTAGAAACTAATAAGGATTCATCACAACTCTTCACACTTCACATTCCACAATTTATTGGTTTTTTTTCTTCTTGTCGGAAGTAACGAATTCAATAATCTTTTTTAGAAAGTCATATTGTATGTGATTTTCAAATATTTTCGATTGTGACATGTATTTTCTCATTTTAATATTTTTTGGTCGAAAAGTATTTTTTAGGTGTTTTTTTCCATCAAAATATTAGAAAGTGGGGATTACTTTCATTCAGATGTATGTCGGTGAAGTTTACAACGTTTATGATCAGC